GTACTGCTTTTCCTACTCTTTTATTGACTATGAAGGCTACTCCATTTCTTCTGAGGGATTCTTGCCCACAGTAGTATACCTGATGGTCATCTGAATAAAATTCACCCATTCCTGTCCATTTTAGTTCACCGATCCCTAAGATGTCAATATTCAGTCTTGTCATCTCGTGTCTGACCACATCCAGCTTGCCTTGATTCATGGATCTTACATTCCAGGTTCCTATGGAGTATAGATCTTTGCAGCATCAGACTCTCCTTTCACCACCAGATACATCTGCAACTGAGTGTCCTTTCAGCTTTGACCCAGTCGCTCCATTCTTTCTGGTGCTACTAGTACTAGCCCTCTGCTCTTCCCCAGTAGCACATTGGACACCTTCCAACCTGAGGGGCTCATCTTCTGGCGTCACATCTTTTTGCCTTTTGGTACTGTCCATGGGGTTTTCATGGCAAAGATACTGAAGTGGGTTGCCATTTCCTTCTCCAGTGGATCACGTTTTGTCAGAGCTCTCTATGACCTGTCCGTCTTGGGTGGCCCTGAATGGCAAGGCTCATACCTTCATTGCGCTACGCAAGCCCCTTTGCCATGACGAGGCAGTGATCCATGAAGGAGCATAAATGTTTAGGTCCTCCAAAATTGTGAGTCAAGGGGCTTCCCCACCAGATCTGAGACCACCTTCACCAATTCAAGTAGGGAGACAGACTGTGAGGTGGCCAGGACACTGACAGAATCCCTGATCTGTTTCTAATATCCAGCTCAAAGCTGGAGATCAGACAACCAGGAGGTGGAATCCTCCCTTTCCCCTTCCTTGTGCTACACTGAGAATCCAGGTGGGCACAGGCAGTGAGTTGAGCCAAGCAAAGAAAATTGTTCTTACTAGGAAGATAGAACATGTAGAGCATTTTATACTGAGAACAGACACAAAATCTAGCTGTTCAGAATTAGTCCGTATCTATCCCAGCCCCCTTTCTCCTACCTTTTACATTTTTTGTTACGCTGATGTTGGGCTGTAGAGAATAGCCTCATCTTCTGGGTCATAAGATTGGGGAGGACACTAGAGAGATTTTGGGGCTGAAGAGTGATAAACATGGTTTAATAGAATGAATAGGCCTGTTTTGAGATACACATTTTGAAACATAATAGAAGGAAGCAAAATACCCAATCCAAAAATATTTCTTTTATTTGTAGCAATATATTTATGAATGAGAAAGTAACCATAATTGAACACAGAAGGATAAATAATAGGGGCTCTAGAAATTGTTGTATTGCTCATTCTGAGATATGAGTCAAGGCATTCAGGACGGTGTACTTGGTTCTCCCCTCCCCACTGAACCCTCCCAACAACCCAGTAAAGCACATTAGGCTGAGCAGAGGTTACGCAAAAGTCACCCAATCAGGTTTGTGGCTGAGCAGAGAACTAAATGTTAGTCTTCCCAGTCCCAGGGCTTCTCTGCACAAGGTTTTGGGCCTGTCATTTTACCAAGAACTATGCTTCCAGATTCTTTGTGGGATTAAGATCAGCTACTTAGCGTGTTTTTCTTCTGTTCCCCACTCGCTCCACCTTTGCATGTATATTCCATAACACAACCACAAGTAGGCACTGCAGTATTGTAGAACTGCAAACATATATGAGTCTTTCATAGCACAATTTCCAGATGCTACTCTTTCTTGCAAAGCCTGGGACAGACCCTACAAGATGACATTGCGTAAAACAGTGGTTCTCAGCGTGGCCATATACCCTCCTAGGGGGTCATGCCATATTCCACAGGACCACAGGAAGTGCCATATTTCCAAGGGGCCACCAGAGGTTTCTGAGGGAGCCACCCAAACTTAACTGCCAGATGTATGATCATTCGCCATAATTCTTACATCTCATTCTCTCTGCTAAATTTCAGCAGCATAAATATTTAAAATTATTATAGTTTACAATAAATATCTTACTGAGAAAATAATCTGTAATCAATAATTTTTATATTCCTTGGAAACTCAACCATATGATACAGTTTAGATTAGCAAACTGTGCAGATGGTAAAGTACCTTTTTCCAGCTATCAGCTATTACAAGGAGTGTCACAGAGGTCCATGAGGCTCAGAAGGGGGCCATGAGTGAAGAAAAATTGAGAATCCCCGGTATTAAGCAGCCTTAGACAACCATGAGTAAGGAATCATATGCACACAAGGAACACCTTGTATAGAGAAGTCCCTAGCCCAACACTCCAAGCCCTTCACCTTGCAGGTTAGAAATACTGCCTGGAGCTTCTTGGGGATTACATGAGTGGAGCCAGCTGGAGCCAGGGGTCAGACTAGATGGCCTGGCAGACCCTTTCTGACTCACTTTGTTTTTGTCTTTTTTCAGTTGCTCCCTGACATGCTACCCAGGTGAGTTTAAGACTCTTGTGGCATCTTAAAGACTAATGATATTGTTAAAGCATGTGCCTTGGATCTTCTTTCCCCTCTAATGCCTTAAGATTTCTTTTTCCAATGAAGAGGCTGGCATGCTGCAAAGGAAATTGCTGTGCTTCAGCACCAACTTTATTTGGGTTCAGAAGAGTGGCTTTATATTTTGGACTTCAGAACCCACCTCTGTCTTGATCTTGGGCAGGTTACTTTTCTTTTAGTATCACCGGTTTCACTGAGATTATCTGGAAACTTAACACTCTGTATTGGTGTATGTAACTAGCAGGTTATAAAAGTGTCTGTACATGGGCTGTGAGATGCAACCTTCTCATAGCAGCCATTTTGTGAGAGTGCCCATGACACATTCAAAATTCCACATGTGCCAAACATCCCAATAATGCTGGGGACTCCTAGCTACGTTTTTGTGGACTAAAGTGCAATGCATCCACTTCAGGAAGAAAGTGGGTGGCTTCTTTGTTGTATAGGTTGCAAAGCAGTAGGGTGTGAGCTCATGAGAATATGAGCAGCCCCACTGGATCAGACCAAGGGGCCATTTAGCCCTGCATTTTGTTAGCGCAACAGCCAAATTGCTGCCCATGGGGAATCTACATGCAGGACACTGGGGCAACAGCACTTCCCCACCCATGTTCCCCTGCAACAGGTGCACATGGGTACACTGCCTCTACTAGCGGAAGGGAGCATATGGCCATCAGGATTAGCAGCCATTGATCGCCTTCTCCTCCCTCTTCTGCTAGGAGCTGGCAGTCATCAAGTGGGCAGCAGGAAAGCTTAGTGCAGGCAGAAGGCGATGAGCGGACAAGACTGTACAAGCTCCCAGTCCGAAGCGGCAAGAGAAACCTGTTGTCAGCAGCGCCTGCAAGGCAAACGCAGACAGGCAGAGGCTGCGAGAGCCGCGAGCTGTGCCGCGCAGCCATAAGGCAAACTAGTCAGCCGCCTCCCAGGGCTGTGTGACGAGGGACAAATCCCGGGAGCGCACTTAACCTCGCCGGAGACTGCTTTACGGACTGAACGACAGTAACCCGGGAAGCTCACACGCTCGTGAGGTGAATGACCTGAAATAAGCCACAATTCACAGGCGCTTCTTGCATCACCGTCAGCTTCATTTCCTAAACAGAGCCGTCCCCCTCGTACAGTCACCATATCACCCTATCTCCTAGCAACACCCACACAGCCTCCGAGATTGGGCGAGCAACGTGCACGCCCACAGCCCCCGGCCTTCCGATTGGGCGGTTCAGGCGATGACTTCGGGCTCTCCGGAAAATGTGGCTTCTCGCTTTTGTACGCTGTACTCGCCGGGTCTGATGCCGAGAACTCGGTCAGAGTGTAACGCGGCCGGCGGCGCGGCACGCTCGTCTCCCAGCGGGACACCAGTTGCTTCCCGAGGCAAAGCGAAGCGCTCGGCGAGGCGCTGGATTCATGCTTCCTCTCCCGGTTCGCAGCAGTAGCCGCCGCCGCCGCCGCCGCCGCCGCGAATTCCACCGGTATCCCACACTCCATTGCACTGTGGGTTTGCTGCAGCCTTCCCTGCAGCCTGGTGCCCTCCAGAGGCGTTGGATTAGCTCCCCATCAGCATGGGGATGCTGGGAGTTGGAGTCCAACGCTCTGAAGGACCCTTGGGGAAGCTGCACCACGTAGTGATTCATAAGAAAGGCCCTCACTCCCGCACATAGCTGTGGCTGAATGAGAACACCTCCATGTGCATCTTGCCCCAAGTCCCGGCACTGGGCAGGCCAACCGTTTCCACGCACGGGCCCCGCGACCTCCCGAAGACCGGCGGGCTTGCCACGCCCTCGCTTCGGTCGCCGGTGCCAGACTCGGGTAGCGCTGCTGAGCACGGCGCAACTTCCCGGGACGGCCTGAGAAAGGGAAGACGCGCGTTCCGTTGAAGCTCCACCGCGGAAAGGCGGCGCTGCTGAACTCCCCTGGCGGGGGAGGGGGAGGGCAGGCAGGTCCGTCCACACACACGCTGCCCCTTCCCGGGAGACGTTTCATAAAAGTTTCAGAAGGGGTGGCGGGAAGTAGTAAACGGAACCATTTAATTTGTTTGCTCGAAATGGGAGAAGCAGAACTTGACTGAAGTTGGCGGAAGCGTGTTGCGTCGATGCCAGGCTCCATCAGTGACCTCTGCAAGGCGCAGTTGTATTCCAAAACAAAGTCCGGGCGGCAGTCAGCTCAGGCTCGTGGGAGCGGAGGCACGCCTGGCCCGGGGGGCTGCTGGAGGTTACGAGGACAGGCATCCCCGCACTTGTGTGCACGCGCGCGCGTGCAGACTTGCGCCGACCAGAGGATGCGCAGTTGCACGGCTGGCCCGGCTTCCGCCTGGTACCGCTGCCCAGGCGGCTCGAGTATGGGGCAGCGCGTGCTCTCGGGTGCTGCCCCTTGCCTCCTCCCCTTCACCTCCCCCCCGGCGATTGCGAGAGGGCTCCGTGTGGCCGGGGACTGGCATCGGCCCAGGGTCTGCGCCGGCAGGCCCAGCCCCAATTCTCATTGGACTGCAGCGAGAGCAAAGCTGTCAGCCCATGTGGCGTGGCCGCCGGAGGTGGTGGCTGTTTAAATAGGCGCTGGGAGCTAGAGGGAGACAGTGAGAAAGGAACTGTGAGCGCAGGCACACGGCGCCGGTAACCTCAGTGCGCATCAGGCACCGAGAACGAAGGAAGAAGGGAGGGAAGGAAGGAAGGAGGCAGCCGGCCGGCCCCAGAGACTTCGTGTGCCGGCCATCGGAGACGGCAGCAGCAGGACAGAGCGCCTCCCTCGCCGGGCACTTCGCAGCGACTGCCGCATCCGCTCCTGCCAGCACGGACCTCGTGTGGCCAGTCCGCCGCCCAGCCGATCTCACGGAGCTGAGCAGGTAACCGGCTTGGATCGCCCGGACCGCGGATGGGGAGAGGAACGGCCCAGTGGGGTGGGTGGGTGGGTGGGGGGCTTGCACGGATGAGAGCGAAGGAAGGCGCTGCGGCGCTCGGCCAGGGCGGGAGGCCGGGGGTGCGCTTGGGGGCGCCTCGAGGGCCTCCTCTGCGGGAGGCGCGGCCGGTGGGCCGCGGGGAGGTGGGGGGACTGTCCGGATGCCTTCTTCACCCCGGAGCGCTCCCCTCCCTCCAGGGCGCCGCCGCTCCCCTCGTGCCCTCCTCTCCCGGCGTGCGGGAGGTCTGCGAGCCGGGCTCGGCGACGCCGGGCTCCGCTTGCCCAACCTCCCATGCAAATAGGATTGTGCAAATCTCGGAAGGCTGAAATGCGTCTCTGTTTGAATAAAACAGCGCCGTCCGCGAAACTGGAAGGGGCATCCATATTCAAGTGCTTCTGCAAGGCAGGCAGGGAAGCCAGCCGCTCGCAGGACGGAGGGCGGCCTCGGAGCGCGGGCAGCGTGTCGCCCCGGGCGAAGGAGATTTCGCCGGCCGCCCTTCGGGGAGCAGCATCGAAGGGCTTCCGAGGCCCGCTCGGCTTCTCTCCGTCGCGTGTAGGGCGCTCCTGCCAGCCGTGGCCGGGCCGGGGCATGATATATTGCCTTCGGAGCGATCGCCCCTTTGTCTTCTCTAAAATTGCAAAACAAAAGCGGGAGGCAGAAGACCACCCTTGTTTTGCGATTTTGTAATGTGGCTGCGTGGTTCGAAGGGAGGCTGATGAGGAGAGGTGTGATTTCGGCGGTTGTGGAATTAGGGGAGGAGTGTGTGGCGAGCGGAGAGATGGAGGCTTAGCTTTGCTGCATTGAGCGAGGTTCTGCATCCAGCCATTTTGATATCAAGCTGGGAAGGCAGTTGCACTGGCGGACTCAAGCCCCATCATTTCGCAGCTCGAGGCAGAGAAGAAGCTGTTTTCTCTCCCTAATTTTTGCCCCTCGCCTTTTGTACACGTCAGTGCACAGAAGGACCCAGGGATGGCAAGGGAGACGAGCCCAGTTGACCCCATCCTCTGGCTGGCCTCTGGTGACATGAGGAAATGGGGACATCGGGCACCATATCGCTTTTGCTACTTGCCTTCACCTCTGCTCAGCTACCTGTTAAAAGTGAGGGATTCTTCCTGGGTATTTGGAAGGAAATTCCCTTTGCTTCTGGACATGCAGACAGTCTAATTGTAACTATAATATAGCCATTGTTCTCAAATGCAGCATCATAGCTATATTTCCCTGCTTTCGTCACAATCCTCTGTTGTTATCAGTCCTCAGAGATTAGGGGCCTGTCTGTAATGCAAAGATGATTTGAGCTGTTTAAAATCACAGCTGCTAAATTTTATTTGACGTTGTCCTCTCATCTTCTTTGTGACTACTTTAATGCAAGAGATTCCAGTAGCATGGAGCTTTACAGACATGAAGCCTCTTTTTGAAATGATGGAGGGTGATCGGTACCACGCCCCCTTTGCTAACCTAGCTCTAGCTACACATAGTCCTTGTCTTTAAATACTTCTCACCAAAACTGGTATCCTAAATTTCCGAAGCAAGAAAGCACAGCCATTTTAGCTGGAATATTTCCCTTTTGTCATACAATCTAACTCTCTCCTTGTTTTAAACAATCTGAAAAGCATGACCCCAGTATTTGAGAATGGAGTGGAATTGGTGACAAAGCTTATTTCTCCCCCATGGCCTGTTAAGTCGAAGAACTTTAGCTTCCTAATCTACAAACAGGTCAGTTGAAGTTGGACTTACACTAAAATAGGAGAGATTTCAGTTGGCCAGATCCACACGCTCCCTGTGTGCTGGTTGCACATCATGTGATTTACTTAATTACCCTTGCAGCATATGGGTTAACGTGTGGTCTGAAACTGGCGAGATGCACCGCAGCCGTGGCTTCCAAGTCACCCCAGGCCCCTACAGCAAGCCATGGGTTCTAGGATGGTATGGAAGCCATCCTTTCATGTACCTCATCAGGATCAGACAACACTGCAGGTGTCACTAGGCGAATTGTGCAGCATGTGACTGGCATGTGGGGAGGAGGGAAAAGAGGCCTTGTGATGGTGTAAATCCAGCCATTGGCTTTCACTGACTTCAGCATGTTGGTCTTGATGGCGTTTCTTGTAGCAGCGCAGCAAAATTGTTGCGACACTGGTGGCATTTACTCATTTACATTCGTTTTTATCTGTCTTTCACCTCTGCAATATATACTGATGCTCTATGCACTTACTAGGAGATTAAGCACAGCTGCAAAGAGTGGGACCTCTGAATAAAACATGCATACGATTGCTCACTAGCAGCCCAATCCTTCCATTCATTCAGAAACAAGTCAGACTGATTTCCATGGAGCTCCTACAAGCACATACTTAGAAGCAAATCTAGCCGAATTCAGTTATACTTCTGAGTTAACATAGCTGAGGTCACACTGCAAATCCTAACATTTCAACTTCACTGGAGACTTATGGGTTCCAGGAAGTGGGAATTATCAATGCACGATACCAAAATGTATGCAATTTTCATGATTCGCATTGGTATAAGGAGGTTGGGGCACTATTCAGCTGAAAGCACCATTCAGTTGATGAGTCCCTTTAATAACCAATATTAGAAATAATTCACCTAGGGCTATAAAATAGCAGAAAGGAATTGTTGTCAACTTCATCCATCAGATAAGGGCAGATAACAAGGATTTACAGTTGCTTGGTGCTGTACATAAACAGTTCTCCTGGTCCTTGAGGTCACGCTCAAATGTAACATGTGAATCAAGCTCTGGTAGCAATTCCCCTGTTCGTAGTGTCAGGGCAAAGAGTTGCCACGGTCATCGGAACAGCTGTCGGCCTTATCTCTGATCATCTGGTTCATATACAAATGTCCCAATTTAAGTGTAGACCTTGACTGCTCAAGGCATCTTATGTAAATCTGTCCTGAGAAACAGCATAATTATATCTTCTTTCTTCACCCCGGTATCAGTCTGTTATACTCACTTCCTGTGTTTACTGAGGCTCCAGTACATGTACGATAAACGAGGAACATTCAGGGAGGAGATGTTATGACTGCTTTGCTGCTCCTCTGCTCTCTGGTTTTGTCCACTAGCCTGTCTATGGGCTGCTTGAACCAGGGCCGGCCCAAGACTTTCTGCTGCCCTTGGCAGAACGGTACAGCACACCCCCACGTGCAGCCCGGGCTTTAACCCAAGGGTGGGCGACTTGTGGCCCTCCAGCTTTTTGAGCTACAGCTCCCATCATCCTCACCATAGTCTATGCTGGGTAGGGCTAGTGCAGGAGCTACAAGCCAAAATATCCGAAGGGCCACAAGTTGTCCACTTTTGCTTTAATGGGACATTTTAGAATGTATTTTTCTTTCTCTTTGTTCTCTCTCTCCTTTCACAGCCTGCCCTTGTTGTGCGCTTTTTCCCCCTGGCTTTTTCTCACGCTCTCTTGGCTCTAACCCTACAAACATGGAATCCTGTAGAACCTTTTCTAAGTAAAGATGCCAAGAACTGGTGCAATGGTAAATCTTTTCCCCTCCACCCGCACTGTCCCAAGTCGACATACCACAGAGCCTGACGTTCCCCTGCAATACATTTCTGTATTCCTTCCCTTCCCTTCCGCTGGCTTCTCGAGCCACCTCCGAGGGTGCCTGGGCAAGTGGAGAGTGTTAGCCTTCTGCTTCTCCTGCCCTACGACCTCTGCTCTTCTTCTGGCAGCAGCCACCAGTCCAGGCCGGGGATGGCTGGTTTTTGTTGCTGCTGCAATAGCCACCCTGTGGCTCTGCCAATGCGTGCGTCAGTCAGTTGTTTGGCTGGCTGGCCAGTGGTCAGGCAGGCATCCAGCCAGCCTGTGCTCTCGCTCCCCCCACCACTGGCCAGCATTTGGGCAAGATGCCATGCAAGACGGGTGGGAAAGGGGCTGCCAGCAGCCCCAGTGGAGTGCCTGAGTTTGCTGGGCCTCGCAGAGTATCCAGAGTCTGCAAAACTCTATTTGACGAAGCAGCAGTGACCTCGTCTGCAGCGGGTGACTACGAGGTGCTCCCTAGCAGATAAAACTAGGTCAAGAAAAGCATCTTGGTAAAGCATCTTTGCTAATCAGCTGCCTGAAGCCAGTTCCTGAAATCTCAGGGCTGGGCCTAACGTGCTTATAGCTGATCTCTTCTCCATCCAGAACCACCCTAATTTCATTGGTGCTCCGTTCTGTTACAACAGGGTGGCAGTCTTGGCGGGGCCAGAGCTCCCTTTGTTCTGCAACATATCATGGATAAGCCTAGTCCAATACTGATAACATGATGCCACTCTGCAAGATCAGATTATTAATAGACGAGGATGCCAAGGAAGGTTAAAAATGTTTCATCTTGAAAAGTGTCCAGCCTTAGATACAAGAGGTTAAGGATTGTTTGGTCCACTAAAACCTTTGCAGGTAGAACAATTGTATCTGATGCTGAAGACCGGTAAGTTTTGATGAGTGTCATGTGGGGTCCTGTTGCACCCAGTGCACAGTGAAAGTGGAAGGAGCCCTCGTGCAAAGCACATGCCGTTGAGCCCCAGAAGGGGCATGTGCTTCATACCATGAGCTCTGCAAAGCTTGGCTTCTAGAGCTGACAGCGAAATGAGTGTACAATGCCCATTTCATCCCATCTCAGCTGCTGAAAAAGTTATTGTCTGTCATCAGACTGTGTTTCAGATTCATTAGTCGGCTCCCCAGTCTGCCCTCACCCTCTGTTTCATTGTATCATCGGGGCTGATGAAAATTTCCTTTCTTTGTCCTTGTAATCTCTTTGGCTGTTATTGTCTGTCCAAAGGTCCAGTTGGCCTCAAGTTCCTGCTGAGCAGAGCAATATTTCAACTTTTCTGATATATTTTATCCAAAGAACAAATACCTAAATTTTACCTAAGTACAGTCACTTTATACGGGTTGGACACTCTCACCTGGCAAATTAGAGAGTGTGTTACCTGGATGATATAAAAATGGCACTGCCGTCTGTGTATCTGTATATGTACTTAACTGGACAACATCTGTCCTAGCCCACAGGTAGGGCTGGACTGGATGAATTTAAAGTCACTTCTTTTTTAAGTACGTTATTTCACCACACTTAAATAGCTCTATCAATTTTATATGGTTCTAGGTGAATAAACTCACATTTATTTATGACAAGATTTTATTTATTATAAGTTACCTTAGGGTGTAGTCTTATAGGGATGCCCGTAATCCTGTGAATTCAGGCATCTCCATTCTTCCTGCTGTACAAAACAACTGGCCAGTTCTGCCTGTCTAACTTCAGTGCTTCAGAGGGGGAGTCACTTTGTGGCAGCAAGCTACATTCTTGCTAAAAGGACTGAAATGGGTGCCAGTACACCACTGGGCTATGTTTAAGGTGGTGTTAACACAGAAAGCCCTAAACAGCTCAGGAGCAGTTCCTAATCTTTCATATCCCAGCTCAATCTCTACAATCATCAGAGGGAGCACTCATACTAGAGATGGTACAGAATTGTTGGAGGCAAATAGATAATAATGATTAAATAATTTAAAGACAGTAAATGCTGAAAAAGAGAAAAAGAGAGAGAGAAAAAGCAGCAGCATAGACTGGATGAAAATTTTGTTGGGTGGAAGAATTGACACGAATGATTTAGATATTTGATTTTGGGCTTGATGCAAAACCAGATTCTGTATCATTTCAATTTTCAAATTCAGAGTTTCCACTATCAATGTCACATAAAGTAGGTGAATTTCCTCAGCCTCATTTTGCATAATTAAAATTATTTATCTATTTTAAAGTTACATCTTACGAATTTGCGCAAGATAAAACACAATGGAGTGGTTTGCATGGCCTGCATTTGGGGGTGGCTGCATCATGTGATCCTGCTGATCATGGGTTGTTTGAAGGCTGTCCAACCCTTGTATAACCCATGCTTTTGGGTTTGCATGATGCAAACCCCTGCATGGGGTTGGAAGTGCAATCTGCTGCCTGCAGGTGCTACAGTTCACTGTAGCTTAAGCAGCCTCTGATGAGATGTGGCATATTTGAATTGAGTCAATGGGTTGGGTTCCCCAAACTTTTTAGTAGATGGCAGAAGGGAAAATAGGAAGTTCCCCTTCCCCATCCCTCTGGCCAAAGCCTCTACTAGATGAAGGAGCCCTTCTGTTCATGGAAGAGATGCTTTAGAACTAACCCAATAAAAATAGTTCAGTTTACTAAAGTCCAACCAGGAGAAGGGTAAAAACAATTCAGCATAAAAACAGGGAAATATATCTTTCATATACATAGTGGAAGCTTGGTATGATATAAATGATAAAAGTAATCTAGCATTTTATTGTTTCGGGGCATTGCTCAAGGCCTCAGAAAAGGGAAAGTTGTGTACATGGGACCGGGGGTGGGGATAGTAGCCTAGGCAGGAGGCAGGAAGCTGTGAAGGATACGGCACTGGTTTGCCCTTAGCATCCATCAACACTCTGCTCCCAGTTGATTTGCAGCAGCTCTGGTTCCTGGTTTCTTTCATTTTGAAATCACTGGTTTTCATCCTAGAGTCTTGGACCTCAAACCCTTTCATACTTACAAACAGCACTGATGTTGTATTGTCCTTAAGGTGTACCTTTCAAAGAGTTTGCATTGCTATGTGCAAGTATGAGAAATTATTTCTCCAGCCTACCTCTGATAATGTCATATATCTTCTTTAATATAATAGAGGCATGATGTTTTTCTTGTGGCCTCGGTCTGACATTTTCCTGCTTTGTTTTCAGAGAGAAGTTGAAAGATGGAGGACGTCGTGATTGCAGGCATAGCAGGGAAACTGCCAGAATCAGAAAATTTGCAGGAATTTTGGGAAAACTTGATCAATGGAGTGGACATGGTGACAGAAGATGACCGAAGGTGGAAACCAGGTAGGCAGAGCAATTTTGAGTGGTCTGCAGAAATAGAAAACTGCAAGAGACTTTAAATGGCAAGCAGTGGAGCAGCTTGCCGGACACGGGAACCATGCCCCAAGCCGTTCTTGTCAGAACTCTCTCATCTGCACCCAAACATCTCTAGCACAAAGTGACTCAAGTAGCACATCCAATCCTTCCTTCTGCTTCAATGACTGAATGTACTTGGATTAATCCAAATGCTTGCCTGACTTACTTTTGGAGCCCTCCTGTGAGGAAGATCCTGCAATACCCTTGAACAACCTGTAGGTGTGGTCTAATGACACCTGATTATCTGGTGCTATTATTGGTGCTCCAACAGTAATTCGTTTTCATTTGCAGCTCTAATATCATGTGGGCAAGAAGTCTGGTGTCTGTTCATGTCTGTAGAAATAGCATTAGACATGGAATAAATACAATTAACATGTGATCCTAATTATACCTTATCCAATAATTATATAGTACAGGAAAGATGTGATTGCGTTCCTCTCTTTCTTTTTAATTTCAGGAGTTTATGGACTGCCTAAGAGAAATGGGAAACTCAAGGACATCAGCAAATTTGATGCCTCTTTCTTTGGAGTTCATCCAAAGCAAGCTCACACAATGGATCCTCAACTTCGTCTGCTGTTGGAAGTCTCTTATGAAGCCATTTTGGATGGTGGTGAGCAAAGAGTCTAGAATTCTGTGCCCAAAGCAATAACAGTGTGCAAACTGAGTGTAAATATCATGTGGTTCTAAACACACTAATGGGTTGGATCCAGACTTCTTCATACTTCGAGCAGTCCCAGTGAAATCAATTGGACTTTTTAATCATGACTAGATTAAGTCCCACTGATTTCAGTGAGCCTACTCTAAGCATGGTTCACTCTGGATCCAATGTTCAGGATGTTAAAATTCTTATTAGTTTTTAGGAGTGGGAAGGAGATGCTGGAATAGCATACTGCATGTGCAATGGAACCGTAGGGAGGACGTCGACATGAAGAGTTCTTGTGCATGAACCAGCTGGTTTGCGATTCTAACCCAAACTACCTGAACATGTTGTTTCTTCTTACTGTGACCTGACGGCTGCCGGTTTTTAAAAGCAAAATATTCTGTTATTTGTGGGAAGATCATATCCATTCAATTTGATAGATCCTGTGGGGCTAAGTGACCAAGGGCTCGATCCTATGTCCTCTGCACACAGGTAGTCCTATAATTCCTAACTTGCCTGGGAATAAGCCCCATTGAACTAACTGGGCCTTAGATCTGAGCAGACATGTTGCAGATTATGCTGAAAATTAGGCTTCTGGTAAAGTCGAGAGCTTGACATTTGTGATTTGAAATACTGCACTTTTACGAAGTTCTCATGGTCACACACATGTTCAAAGCAGTGAAAGGGAGATCATACAGAAGGGAACATTTTTTAAAAAGAAAAAGGAAAAGAAGTTTAATCAGCAGTTCTGTCTGACTGTAATCTGTTCAAACAAGTCTCTGCCTGCTGCAGTGAGAGCCAGGAAACAATGTCATTCAAGAGCTGGCATGTCCCTCTGTGACCGAGTTGCAAAGGTGATCGGGAAACCACCAGATTTCTTGAAGGAATATTTACTAGGGCCTCTATTTTAAGCTTTCCTGTTCATTGATTTCAAAAAGGGGCTTGGGCTTCAGCTATGTGCAGTGTTGATATTTCCTCTTGAAATCTTAAGATTAGCAGAGGCAACCTTTCTGTTTTGGGGCATTAGCTAAATTTGGACATGTTGATGGACACATTGCATTCCATCATCCACTTAGAGCACAATGCCCATGCCTGTCCCTGCTGGCTGGCGGGTTTGGGCATGAGGCAGAGGAGTCCTTCTGCTGGCAATAAAGAGCTCCCCTGGGCTGAGAAGAGCCCACCCTGGCAGACCCAAGCATGTCTGTGGGAGCAGAAGGTGGGTTGAGCCTCAGGCCCATTTGTGGAACCGAAGTGGCCTGCTTGGGATCCAGTCCAACTCTCCGGGACTCCCCAGATGGCCACACACCCTTTCTCCAGACCACCAGTCTTGGGGTGGCTTCCCAGCTTTTGTGCCATTTTCTTGCATTCCAACAGGCTAAAATACATACCTATCACAAGGCTTTGTTATTGGCAGTGGGAACTTGAAGCTAAAATAGGCTGGCATTTTTGGTCATTTGGTCCTAGTCCGTTTTGCTTTTGCCTGCATACCTACTGGAATGTGGCCTTGAAGAGCCTCTCTGAAATTGAATCCATCTCTTAAGCAAAAGAAATTGACTACTCCAGAGTAGATCTACCACTGGCATCATTTCCACTGGATCTAAGGTCCCTAAGAGGGCCCAGAATTGGGTTCCCTTCCCTCCCATTGAAATCATCATTGCTAGTGCCTCTTTCTCGCTTTATGCTCCAATATTTATTTACTTTGCAGTGGTTCACAGACTAGCACCAAACGCTTGACTGCCAAATGCTCTTAGCATCCTATTGACTTGGTTGACTGTTCTAGCCTGTATAGTATGAAATTCACTTTTTCCCCTTTTAGGTCTTAATCCAGCTTCCCTTCGGGGCACCAACACAGGCGTGTGGATTGGTGCGAGTGGGTCAGAGGCTGGTGAAGCCTTCAGCACAGACCCCGAACAGTTGCTGGGGTACAGCATGACTGGCTGTCAACGCGCGATGCTCGCCAACCGGCTCTCCTACTTCTTTGATTTCAAAGGTGAGTCTGCAGAGGCTAAAGTCTAATCCTTGCAGTGTCTGCTGTTTGAGAAGACACAGCCCTTCCACAAAGGAGATTTTATTTTAAGTAAGTGGGGACAACAGTGACGTTTTAGAAATAGTAAGGGTGGAAATCGGTAGATTCTTTGTGAACTTTTGTGTGACGGTTTACCATGACGACTTTGAAAAATCACAGCACTTGAGAAATGAATGAAACTCTTACAATTTGGTCAGTCCAGAGCTGTAATCTACAGACAGGAACAGCAATCGTTCTTCTTTGTGAACGGGAGTCTCTTCTCCCCTCAAGCCTTAGAGATCTCAGCCTTGTTCCACAGGAGAGCAAACATGGGCTGCTTCTGATAGGGACAACAGGGAAGCTACCAAGGCGATGCAATTGTGTCCATGGCTTGTGTTTCCATAGGACCAAGCATGTCCATCGACACAGCGTGTTCCTCGGCTCTCGTTGCTCTGGACAATGCTTACAAAGCGATCAGTAGCGGACAGTGTGAATCAGCCCTTGTAGGCGGAGTCAATCTTATCTTGAAACCCAACACTTCTGTGCAGTTCATGAAGCTTGGCATGCTGAGTCCTGAAGGGGCCTGCAAGTCCTTTGACGCTTCAGGTAAGCAGCTCGCTTGTTTGTTTGTTTGTTTGTTTGTTTGTTGAACTAGGCTTCAGAAGCAACTGGCACATTAGAGGGAGTTTAGAACTTGGTGCTCTTTCATCAAATTCACAAGACGGACTTGGCTTGCAGACACTGGCCTCAACTGGTATTCAAAAAAGACAGAGATGCCACAACTAACCCTTTCATGGCTCTCTTTTCCTCCCTTCATTCCTCTTCCCTTGTGTGTGTTGTCATTTTACTTTGCAAGATCTGATGAAGGTCTGTCTCTCCCTCTCTCGTATTGCTGCAAGCTGCTTCGGAGACAATAATTGCCTGAAAAGAGGAGGTAACAATATGGTAAATGACAACAGCCACAACAACGACAACGATTATTAATAATTTCATTTCTATACCACCAAATAGCTGAAGCTCTTTGGTTGGTTCACAACAATTTCTAAATGTGAATAGAATAGCAAAACTTGATCACAGTAAAAATAGAGATGCAATAAAATACAGCATAAAATTTCTGCTATACAAACTTTAAAACAGTTTAAATCAAAACCATTTCAATAAAAACTAGATATATTAGAGCAACTGATATGATATGCTATGAAATACTTGAAAATAGAGTGCAGTTTTAACCCGGCACCAAAATGATGACAGTGGTGGTGTCAGACAGGTTCAGTGGGGAGATCATTCCATAACTGGGAAGACCCTCCTTCTCATCATCTTTCTGTGGTCTCCCTTGTCAATGGGAGTCAGAACAAGGCCTCAGGCGCAGACCCATAGTGTCTGAATAGACTGAGGCTGGGGAGGCATTCTTACAGGTATAAAATCAATCATGGAATACTTTAAATGACTGTGCTTTTCTGAGAGCTGCTTTGAGCAAACTGCGGGTGGAAGGCCACAGGCAGGGCCTGCAGCTTGTTCTTGAAGTACGAGAGTCTTTTCTAACCCCTCTCTGTAAGACTCATTGTTATGTCTCTTGATTTCTGCAGGGAATGGATATTGTCGCTCAGAAGCTGTTGTAGCTGTTTTCCTGACCAAGAAGTCCTTAGCCAAACGGATTTATGCTACCATAGTCAATTCTGGGTGTAACACTGATGGATTTAAGGAGCAAGGTAAGATAAATAATCTCTGGAAGTTGTAAAAGGCAAGGATTTATCAAGGACTAAAATAGAAGTAACAAGCACATACAGAACAGACAGACCAAATCACGAATGTCCTTGTCAAGTTGAGTTCACTTGGGCCTGTTCTTTCCATTAGGAACAGCAAAAGCTGCCCATGGCCCACCCTGGCTGGGAGCCATTCCCCTGGGTTTCCCAGCCCGTACCAGTTAGGAACGAAGGCAGCTTAGTCCAGCCAGGACTATGACTGCCACATATTCCCAAAAGGCACTGGGACCCTTCCATTCTCTTTCAGCATGTGGCAACACATTCGAGTTAACTTTCCGTTTGCAGTAGGGAGAGAGTCCTGCCATCTGTGCCATCATTACTGTTACCATTAATATTACTAGTCTTGATATTCCTGACTCAAAGCTCATTGGGCCTATATGAGCCTAGTCAGAACCAGTCCCAGAGCTGAGTGGGCCACCGGGTGCAAGTCAGTGGGCCTAGGGCTACAGCCTAAATGTGACAGCGCCAGTTGTTCCCTCGCACGGAGACAGGATGTGACCACTCTTCTTGCCGCAGGTGTCACCTTCCCCTCGGGACTGATGCAGCAGCAGCTGGTCAGTTCCCTGTACGAAGAGTCTGGGATTAAGCCTGAAGAAGTGGAGTACGTAGAAGCTCATGGCACAGGCACCAAGGTGTGTTCTCCCTCTGGCCTGCCTTTATTTCCTCTAGTGCTATTCTATCTTTCCTTTTTCTCGCAAGAGTTCCACTAGATAGGTTTTAAATTCCTCTGGGTGGCTTTAGAGAAATTAGATTCTCCATCTGAAGTTTTTGTGGGAGAATGCACAGCCTCATCCCTCTTCCAGCCACTCCGTTTTTTCATCTTGGTATATTTTGGAAACACCAGGAGTCTTGCGTGCCAGTTCACAGTTCGCACTGCCTGATGCCTTCATATGAGCATGTATGGGATGCGCAGTCATACAGAGAAAGAAGGCAAAATCAGCTGTGCAAATGAGGAGTCCCTTTCCTGATCGTGGGCGTGGCTGCTGGATCCCCACTTTAATTCATTTTCTGTATGCTATTGCTACATTTATATCCTGCCTTTTCTCCCTTCTTGCAAGGAGCTCAAGGCAGCTCATTTGCCCCCTTTCATTTTCAAACACACAACAGCCCAGCGAGGTAGACTAGCCCAGGGGTTAGCAATTGGCCCAAAATCAATGAGTGAGCATCACAGTTTGAATGGAGACCAGAACTCAGATTTTGTAAGTCTCGGTCCAGTTCTCTAATTGCACCATGCTGGCTTTTAGCAGCTTTTACAAGCCTATTTCACAATATTCCCGGCTCCCCTGCCATTAAGTTGCATACAGAAGGGTTGGGCAGAGGGAGGGAACTGACCCAGCCCCGCATGCTTCTGCAACCGAGCTAACAGCTCTTTCAGATTTCCTGTCTTTCTCTGCTGCTAGGTTGGGGATCCTCAGGAAGTGAATGGCATTGCCAATGTCTTTTGCCAATCGGATCGACCACCCCTGTTGATCGGATCCACGAAATCTAACATGGGCCATCCAGAACCTGCCTCTGGCCTTGCAGCTTTAGCAAAGGTAAGAAAATAATGTCAGTCCCCTTGTGGTGGATCATCCCCACCCATTGTGATTGTGGGTGCAAATGAAAAATATTGAAGGACAGATGTTTGGGAACTTCAGAATGTTGTATTTTAACTGGGACTGGCCATTTTGAATGTATTTCCTCATGGCTTTGTCAGCTGCAGTGGGTGGCAGTCAGTTTCTGGGCCTGCTTAAGAGGGCTAGTGTTGGCCTCTGAAGTGTTAAATGGCTTCAGTCTACCTGAAGGAGCACCTTCTCCTGCATTTTTTCATCTAATTGCAAAGACAGCCTCTGGAGGCTCTTCTCAGGTTCCACCACTCACAACAGTGGGACAGATGACTTCTTTGTGTAACAACCCCTCGTCTGTGAGATGCCTTTCCCAGGAGAGGTGCCTGGTGTCCTCATGGAAGGTTTAGGCAAAAGACCTTCTTTTTAAAGCAGGTGTTAAATATTTACATGATTTCTTAATCATTAATTTTACTGCTCACTCCTCGCTGTTTTGAAAGCATAATATTACAATTTTTTATATTGTTGCTGCTGTTTGGTTTTATGATTGTCAATGAGGTACTGTGGTTAGAAGGTTGGGCTGAGACTTCAGGATGACTTAGTGGCCCAGTGACCGGCTCTCAGCTGAACCCATCTCACAGAGTTATTCTAAGGATAAAGGAAGAGGAGAAAGGCCATATCAAGCACAAGAAGGAATAAAAGTAGGAGAGCAATGTAGCAGTGATGATAATCCTTGTAAGTTTCAAAGGGCAATCAACCAGGTCCCAGAGGCCTCCTTGTGTATCCCTGGTGGGGAAGAAGAGAGAGAATCAGAAGATAATGAGAATGGGAGAGTGGAGAAAATGGCAGAAAAGACGGGTGTCTTATCTGCAGCCCACACTTCCCTTGCATTTCAGCTTCCCACAGTGTGGGAAAAGCACCAGCAGTTTGTGCCTGTGGGGTGAAGGGCAGCTATAGATGGGGGACTGCAGTAGTTACAGGGAAGGCCTGTGGCCTCAGGAGCATTTGCAAGGGAAGCAACACTTGTGTCATGCCTGTAAAGCCGCAATTCTCATGTTGCAGGCCTGTGCGTGTCCTGCCCCACTTACCCCCAGGCCAGTGCGCACCATCCATCTCCAAAACCTAAAGTCTCCTCTGCTGCTTTGATCTTTACGATACAAAATGGCCATGGCCCCATTTTCTGGATGTGACTTTGTTGGCAGCAACTTTAATTTGATTTTCGATGGTACCTGCCCCATGGCAGCTGTCACTTCAGCATCTCTGATGATCCAGATACTTGCCCACAGCAGTATGTAAAACTGTGAGTGATGTTAAAGAGTGAAAGTGGGGAGAATAACTGGGGAGTCAGGCGGCAGAAGCGTGTGATATAGTCCTGGCAGATTGGATGATGGCTCCCACTTCTTTAACTGCAGCAGAGTATTTTTACTATTTTCAACTACTATTCTGAATGTTATAAAAACAGGTTAAGACCACGTTTCATCCTTGAGGATATCTGCGTGGCTCATTCCAGTGGGCAGGTGTGGCAGAGCTCAGGGAGTAGACAGGGAGAGCCATGATTTCAGAAATGTGTCCAGGATGAGATTACCTTATCCAAGGGCCTTGATCAACTTACTTAACGATTCCACACCCCAGATCATACTTTCCCAACCTAAGCCCTTCAGTCGTGTTGGATTATCACTCCCTTTATTCCTATCCAGCATAATGATTGGGCACATCTGGGGAGTACCAGACTGGTGAAGGCTGCCTTAGATTTTCCATAGGAGGGTTACGCTAAGCTGCCCACTCCCTTTGAATTACGTTGATACCAAGTGAAGAAAGACATTACGTAAGAAGAGGTGTGCACTGAGGAATATGCTCTGTGTCATATGCAAAAAGTAGGCTGAGTTGCAAAGGTTAGAGTTCAGTGCAGAATTTAGTGACCTTTTCAGTATCCTGAGGATTTGGAGTTTTGTTTATAAGAGAGTTGCTTTCTAGGGCTCATGCTAGTCCCTGAATTATGCCAGTGACCTAGTAGAAAAATGAAATATTAGACTTTTCTGTTATGCTGCCTCTTTCCCAGGTACTTCTCTCTTTAGAACATGGTCTCTGGGCACCAAACCTTCACTACAGTACTCCTAATCCAGATATTCCTGCCTTACAAGATGGGCGCATTGAAGTGGTCACTAAGCCAACCCCCACAAAAGGCCACCTTGTTGGTATCAATTCCTTTGGCTTTGGAGGCTCAAATGCCCATGTCATCCTGAGGCCCAACAAGAAGAAACCGGCCCCTCGGGAGACTCCTAGTTTGCCACGACTGGTACAATGTTGCGGAAGGACTCAAGAAGCAGTAGAGACATTACTAGAGCAGAGCAGGTATCTGCAGGAACACTCTGCGTTTGTGAGCATGCTCAATGACATCTCTGGGATCCCTGGGTCAGCCATGCCTTATCGGGGCTATACGCTGATCGGCAGTGAGAGTGACGTGAAAGAGGTTCAGAATATTCAGTCCTCCGGGAGGCCTCTGTGGTACATCTGCTCAGGTAAGGTCACCCACAGACTCTTCCTTTCTCTCTGCAGACTTGGAAGACTTAGAATCCAAATGTCTGACTTTGCTAGGTAACTTGGCATGCTCAATAGTCTTGTTGCATGAGAATAAGAGCTTCAGCTGTTGGGTGGTATAGAAATGAAATAAAATAAAATAAAATGCATACGTTTAATGACAATGAAAATCTGTTGGGTTCACGCTGCTTATAGGAGTTCTGGCCTATTGCATACATGCCCCCCAGAATGTCGTGAAGTGGCATTTCCTGCTAGCTCAGAGGTGCAGAACCTCAGTCCCAGCGGGCAAAGTTAGCTCTTCTGGGGGCCAAAATCAACCCTCTGAAGCTCCTTCAACTGCCCACACCTCATTAACTCAAACCAGCAATTTGGTGGTTTTTGAGGCTTTTTTGCAGTTTTTCTCCCATTCTGAAAGTCTGAAATGTTTCCTTGAAGGTTTAGTTCAAGCTAAAATAGCTAAACTGTTTGGGTCCTAGTTCCCACCCACCACTGGAATGTGGCCCCCAAAACTGGGGTGGAATTCAGTCATCAGCCTGGAAGAGGGTCTGTTCTGCATCTGTGTGCTAGTTGGAGGGGTTTCAGTTCAAGATCTGACTCAGCTCCAAAGCGCACATTTCCATCCTCCAGTCTACAACAATCAGCCCCATTAATGCTCTGAGCTCTGTTTTCTTATCCCCACAGGCATGGGGACCCAGTGGAAAGGCATGGGTACTAGCCTGATGAGGTTAGAGCTCTTCCATCAGTCCATCCTGCGTTCAGATGAGGCTCTGAAGGACACAGGTCTGAAGGCATCCGAACTGCTCTTGAATGCAGATGAAAATACATTTAATGATACTGTTAATTCATTTGTTGGACTTGCCGCAATTCAGGTAAGAATGAAAAGCCACAGTTTCTCCCCACACCCTGATTTGAGTAATGCAAGGAAGTTTGATGCATGATCCTTCCTTTGGCTCATGATCTTCTAAGTCCTTACTTCACTGCTATGTACATATATGCATTTTTAATTTAGTTATATTTATTTATTTTTCGATTTATATCCTGCCTTTTTACTACAAAGGGCTCAAGGCAGCTTACATCACTCTCCTCCTCCATCTTATCCCCACAACAACAACCCTGTGAGGTGGGTTGGGCTGAGAGTCTGTGGCTGGCCCAAAGTCCCCCAGTTGGCTCCATGGCTGAGCGGGGACTAGAACCCAGATCCTCTGAGTCCCAGTCCCATGCTCTTAACCACTACACCACACTGGCACATGTCTGTGCACACACACAACATTCTTATTAAATTTATATCCCACCTTTCCAGTGCTCAGGCTGGCTAATTCTAAAATGCAGCCTGTCCTCACAGGGAACAAATATTCAATCCCATTAAAACATTCAATCCCATCACTTAACACATTGAATGAAAGGCAAAGAAACACAAGAGGCAAACGAAAGCACCTCAGTAAGAAGGAAATAATGGCATCCACCAGATTAAAAAACAAAACAGAACACTTTGGCAGCAGGTGAGCTGAGGGTGCAATTGTGTGTGTGTTTTGCCAGAAGAAGGTCAACTCCTAGCTTGGCGTTCGGACACGTAAGTTGTTTTTCTGGCCACGCACGTATAGATTTGTGCCATTAAATGCAAAAGTCCTGCTTAAATAGAAACATTTTTGACTTCTGATACAAAGATAGCTGAACTGGATCTGCCTTACTATCCTCTGACAGAGTTGATAGTCCTGGGGCTTCATTTCAACCAGGACACACTACAAAGCGGCTTCAAAAGGTCTTCTTTGTCTGCAGAAGAGGCACAGAGTGGTTCTGACACTCACCTCTTGCTGTCTCGAGATGCCCTGTCCTGGGCCTTTTGAAGGAAGTGCGAGGTTACAAGGCCCCGAGCCCCACCTGTTTTACTGTCTGCGCACAGCCTACATGTAGGCAGTTTGGATGTGTGTGGACGCACAGTCTGTGAGTCTGCTCTGCTGCACGTTGGGGCAGAGAGAGGAAAAAGCAAGCTGTTGACCTCAGGGTCGTGCGCATTCTTGTTGCTCAGGGGAGGAAGAATGCGCAGTGCGTTCAGCTAATGTGGCAACCGGATCTGAGACGGTCTTTTTATGCCTGCAGATCCAGAAGGGGGCCTTGACGTGGGGCACTTAGTGCCACCCTGGTAAACCAACAGGGGGAAGCAACAATGGGCTCCTTGTTTCAACAGCAGGCCATCAGCAACTTGTTGGCTGGGAGGAGGAGGATGGACAGTATGGGCCGCTTGGTGATAAAATGTTTGAAGAAAAGAAATTAAAGTTCAGGGTCAGTGCCGTTAGGCATCCTCACCCACAGTTTAATTGAGCCTCGCTTTGATGATTGTCCTTTGCTGAGACAGAATTCTCTACACTGTTTGGCATCATGTACACTCAGCAGCGCACTCTTTGCTCCGCAGATCGCACAGATCGATATCCTAAAGGCGCTGGGTTTGCAGCCAGATGGGATTGTCGGTCACTCAGTTGGAGAGCTGACCTGCGGCTATGCAGACGACTCCCTGACCCACGAAGAGGCCATTCGCGCTGCCTATTGGAGAGGGCGGTGTGTCAAGGATGCCAAGCTGCCCCAGGGACTGATGGCTGCTGTTGGTAGGTAACTGGGGGCTCCTCTTTCTTGGCTTGGATTCGCACTTCCTTCTACAGCAACAAACATTAATCAGAAGTGTTTATTTAACTGATGTAGTATAGGGAAATATAAAAGGACTGGGTGTATTTAAAATAGCTTCCTGAAAATTCTGGGGAATGGCACAGAGTTCAGGTACTAAAGCTTATATGGTTTCCGTGCTGCTGTATGTCCATTTATCAGCCTCCAAAGGAGGACGTTTGTCATTTAATTTTGGGATGGACAAAAGCAGACTTAATACAGCCCATGGGACAGTCACAACTAAGCGACCACCCCCATACTCAGCTCATACCTATCAGGTGTACGGAGATAAGAGTGTATCTTCTAACATACATTCACACCTACACCTACCCAGGCCTGATTGCGTGAGGGTTTAAAATATGTTTAGCATGTTGCTGATCCTTTTGCACAATTCAAAATCAGATAAGAGGGCCCTTGTTTTGAAATTCAAGCACCACGAAATTGCCTTCAATTTGCCTTCGTTATGTTATCCCACACTGGCAGAAAATAGTCAGTATACTAATACATAGCATGAGTTTATGCGACACATTCTTGTTCTGGTTGTTTCATCTAAGAACAATGGTGTAGTTTAGTCTCCCTTCCCTGGGCACCCTCCAAGCGTGTGGAAAGGAGAGACCAGCCTTCAGTAGGAGGGCTCAGTACCACTCTGGAGGATCACATGCCACCTCTGCTGGCAGCGAATCGGGAGGAATGTGAGCAGCCCGGCAGTGTCAGCAGCACATGAGCTGCTGGCCCCACGGCCAGACAGCTGCACTCCCTGTGCCCCCCCACCTTCCCCAGAAATCCTGCTGCCCAGTGCCTCGAAGCAAGGTTTTGTGGGCACAGTGCTCCCTTGCTGCGGCCTTTGCCACCGTCACCTACCCTGGGCCTCCCTGTCAGAGGCATAAGGCACCAGTGTAATTGGAACCTGTGGCCCTTCCTGCAGAGATGGGATCCACTACCCTTCCAGATCTGCCAGCCATGGAGGCGATCCACCGTGCTTCAGGGAAGGCTGGCTCTGGGGCAGACCCTGGCCCAGCTGCACAGGAATGATAGGAGCTGCTGTCCAAGAAGCTGGAAAGTGCCAACGTTTGGCGAGAGCCTTTCAGAAGCTGACGGAAGAGCTTCCAAATAGAGACAGTTGGGAATACAGATAGAAATGGGGATTTTAACAAAGTGTCCCGTGGGTCACTTTTGTGATGAGGTTTTGTTTTTCAAATCGAGAACTGGTAGACCTGGCCCTAGAAGGTCACCGTCTCTGTGACCCGGGCGAGATCATGCAGTTTTGTCTTCAGTTCACCATTCCCCATGGGGGTGTGGACAATAGAATAGGCACAGCCTGCCTCCTCATGATTTGAGGTAAAAAGCTGTAAAACAGTTTACACGCGGCAGAAGTTAATCATATTAATAATAATAGCATTTATGTGGGTACTATAAATATACTAGCATTCATATGGTTCATATTATTAATTATCAGTATTAATCATTAATATGACTGTTGCCACCACCTTTTCTGCCATGGAACCTCCTGTGCAATTGAAATAGGGAAAAGCCTGTTGGAAACCCATGAGGCTGCTAACAGTGAGGTCTGGGTTCAAAAAGGTTTAGGGAAAAGACAGAACCCTTCACTGAACAGTGAAATGGATCTCTACAGAATTACAGACAAAACAGACATTATTTTAAATCCTTACCTAACAGCTACTGGGTGGGGGAGGGGGCATTTTTTCTGTAGAGTAAGTGCAGGGGCCCCAATATATGTCCTAAAAGCTCTAGGACTCTTCAGTCCAGATCAACCCCTTGCTATTTTAGATGGGGGGGGGGGCTAGATGCCTATTTTAAGAAGAGCCATTTTGATCCTCAACAAGGTTGTGCAGCAAAGACATTCACACCTAAACTTCAGCAAGGCATGCCTGTGTACCTGTGAGGTGAAGAAGCAGGTTTGATACTGAACTAAAAGGCACATTGGATTAGGTTTGCTTTGGCTTATGTTGCAAAGCTGTATGTGGTTTACGGAAAGAAACAAGGAGTGTGAGGCTGTGCATCTTATCATGGTCATTTATTTACATTCATTGACATATATTTATAGGCCGCCTATAATTGCCAAGGCCTTCCTAGTTGCTCCATGCTAATATCCTGTGCTTACCATGCATTACCTCATCTTGATACAAGTCAGTATGGATCTCTGTGGGGCTAAAATAGCACATTTAGTTTCTGTTGGCAATTTAGTCACTGGGCATCCTTATGGAATGCCCTTCCCTCTATCTTCAGTTCCAATTACTGCATGAATGTTCTTTACTGATCTTATCTTACATTAAAGGCATGCATGCAGTCAGGTATTTCCACATTTTATGATCACTGGAGGGATGTTGTTGTTTTGAAATCCTGACTCTGCTGACAGGATTTAGGGATTTGAGGGTCTAGCATTTGCTAGTTACTTTGAAGCAACAGTTGCTGGTCTCAATTGATCAAGATTCGATCGAAAGTGGTTAAATGGATTTAGATGTCGCTACATAGTTTGCCATCCTACATGGCTTTGATTTGGGGTGTGTGCATGTCCTAGACCATTGGAAAATGGCACTTTCTGTAACAGTCAAGTGGCGAAAATAGAATGACACAAGGCTGTGGTTCAAGCAAGTCCAAACTGTTGGGCTGGAGGGCCTGTGGCGTAAGAGAACTTTGAGGAGGAAAGATAAAGGAGACAGTAGGGGAAAGCGTAGAGGGACCCCCCCCCTCTCTCTCTCTCTCATATATTAGAACATGGAATCATTCCATGAGGCTGCATAGCAGCAAATCAGGCCAGATGAAGGAAGGATTTTTTCACACACTGCAGTCAAATTATGGCTACCACAAGATCCACCGTGGCCACCAAGTCACGGCCATTAATTTGGACAGCTATAAAAGAGGATGCGACAAATTCATGGAGGACAGCATTTTCGGTGACTGCTGGTCGAGGGTGATGTGCTCCCTCCATTCGCTTGACATGTATGCCTTTTGACAGGGGACTGCGAGTGGCATGGTGCTATTGCACAGACACAGCAAGAGTTTCCCACAGGTGGCTGTTTGAGCACTGAGTGACCAGAATGCTGGACCGTGGTCTGGTCTAGAATAGTTTTTCTCACATTCTTATGGTAGGTTGCCAGCCTTCCAGCACCACACATTGAGATGGTGAGAACAAGGCATAGATATGGCCCAGTTTGGGAGGAGGCAAGTTCTGTTAGCTGTTCTTGCTAAGTAAGATGGAGGAAACATCTCCATTTCCCACCACCTCATGGGGGCTTCGCTTACTCCTAGTTCCTTGGAAGACTTCTTTGTGACTACTCCACAGTGGAGCGAACTCATTCAAAGCACTCTGCCTTTTGCAGGTCTGACGTGGGAGGAATGTAAGCGCAGGTGCCCTACAGGCGTGGTGCCTGCTTGTCACAACTCAGAAGATACGGTCACTATTTCTGGGCCTCAGGTAAGAGCACGACAGGAAACATTGCATCAACCGCTGCGTATTTAGGGCACCAATTGGCATGTTCTCATCACAGGAGTATCTTCTGGGCTGCTTCTTGTTAGGTCAAGAAGAGCTAAGGCATTTACAAAGTGGAAATGAAAAAGGCGGGCCAGTAATCAAGGAACTGTAGCAAAAGATTTGGCTGGCAAATTCTACTCGGCACATGCAATCCGGGTGCCTCTGGCTCAAGAGTGCAGAGCCCCTTTCAGCCAGAGTAGAAGGGGAAGGGCCAAACCCCTGGAAGGGTCATGCTGTAATTCAGGGCTATGATCAGTCATTCCTTCATGGATTGAAAGCAGCATATTTCAGCTTAAAGCTCTTCCTGCCAGTAACCAGGCCTCAGGAGAGGCATTTTGACCCTTTAGCCTGGGGAAAAACGGCACAAGGCAGGATTAAAGGCAGCAGGAAGGGCCTTCTGAGGAACCCTGTTGCCTTCCTCTTCTCTTGAGCTGACCCGTTCCCCTGGCCTGCTCCCCTTAGTTTGCGGCATCTCAGCTGCCAAATTCCATCAGAGGCGTACTTCTGCCAGAATTAAGGGTGGCACGTCAGGCAGCGAGGGCCAAAATGGTTGGGTGCTCATTCACAGCATCCCGAGCAGCCACATGGTCCGTCTAGGGTCCCGCAAGCTCCACCTCCTTCATGGCCGCAGCTGCTGCTCTGGAAGGAGACCAGAAGGGATGGGAGCAACCCGTCGGTATGTGTACCTCACAGCCTGGAAAGCTGCTGAGCTCAGTCTGAGTACCTGGGAGCACCACCATCCCCGGAAGCAGGGCGACTGAGCCGTGCCCCTCTTCTCACCCGTTCTCGGCTGCGGGAACGAAGGGACAGTGCACGTCAACTGAAGGACCCCAAGCAGCTCCCAACATGGAGCAATGCTCATGCATGCCTGTCCGTGGCAGCACTTGGCTGCACCAAGCACAGGGCAAGCTGTCTTCTTGCCCCTCGGGGCCACATGCAGGAATGGGTGGCACCCTCCCTGCAGTGGGTTTGAGGATCCTCTCTCCTGGCCCAGGGGCACCCTGATCAGGAAGCCTGAGAGAAGGGCGGCAGCTGGGGGAGGCTGCTGAGACTCAGGCCTGGCAGCTTGCAATCCTGTGGCCCTTCCCCAGCTGACTGGCACTGGGGACATCTGAGGAATGCACAGATTCCCCCAGCACCCCTCCAGTGGGGCATGAGGCCCATCAGCTGGGGGAGGGGGGGGCTGTAGGACACATGGGGTCAGCTGAAGGGCAGAAGCGGCCTGTGAGGTTATGCAGAATATGTGCGTCGGGGCGAGGGGAGATTGAGACTGTTTGGAGACCCAGAATGGCATTCAGGAGATGTGCCAATCTGAAATGTTCAAAATCTTTGGTGTACATTTTGGTTATTATTGTATAGACTTAGGAATGTAGGATCATCCACATGTGAGCAATGTATGCAGGTAATGATTCTGCAGAACCTACGTTAGCAAGAAGTAGCTTATTGGGATGCACCACTGCCTGACAATGCCAATTTGTTCTCCTTTCCTTCATGTTCCTCAGGCTGCTGTGTCCAAATTTGTATCCACTCTGAAAGCAGAAGGTGTCTTTGCTAAAGAGGTGCTCAGCGGAGGAGTTGCTTTCCACTCCTACTTCATGGAATCAATTGCACCCGTGCTGCTAAGTGCCCTGCAGAAGGTAATGTTTCTGGATAACTTCTCACAGTGGGAGGTATCAAAGGAGGCTGTCCAGCGTCAGCATTCTGCAGCCAAAAGTTTCATGCCTCCCTCTGCTGGAATTTAGGTTATTCCAAACCCAAAGCCTCGGACATCTCGCTGGATCAGCACTTCCATCCCGGAGTCCCAGTGGCAGAGTGAGCTGGCTCGGAACAACTCTGCTGAGTACCACGTGAACAACCTGGTGAGCCCAGTCCTGTTCCAGGAGGGCCTGAGGCACATCCCGGAAAACGCCGTGGTTGTGGAGATTGCCCCGCATGCCCTTCTACAGGTACGGCCCCTGGGGCCTGCAAGTGCTCTGAAGTGTGTGAGGGATCACGCAAGTGTGCCTGGTTGTGTCCCCGCCCCCCGGCCGCCAGCTACAAGTGCAACCATTTCTTTCCGTTTCCTGCCGTTTTCTCTCCTGTGCTCCTGCATGCCCTGCCTCTACCGCCTTCCCTCCTTCGCGCAGTCTGTGCACTTGGCTGTCGATGGTCATGCGCGCCATTTCACTGCAGGATGTGATAGATCAGCCCTCCCGTGTTTGGGGGTCCTCCTGCTCATTCAGAGATGAACCTGGACTCTGATCCTGAAGTCCTTCCCCTGAACACCCCTGTGCAGATGGGCAGAGGGGCTGCCCCTCCCGCCAGCATCCCAAGCATCTGACAAAAGATGCCAGCAGCGCTCATGCCATGACGTTGCACTAATACGCCTGAGGTGTTGGTTGAGGCCATCCCTTGCGTTAGGCTGCCAAGGTGCAACCAAGAACAGGAATCCTGCACCTTTAATAACGGGGTACAAGAAGGAATTTCAGCTTGCAAGTCATGAGCCGGCTGTGTCCTTCCTCATTTCCTCTCTAGCAGGCTGAAATGAGACTTTAGAAGCACAACCTTTTATGAAAGCTTAACAAGTCACAAATCCGTGCAGCTCAAAATAGCCTTCCCCCTGCCCATGTGAAGAGCGGGATCCGATCTAAACATCCCCCCTCTGTCTAGAAAGCTTCTGACTCCACCGTCAGGGTGGCTTCTGCTGCTTGAGGGCCAAACAGACACTTTGTCTGGAATGCCAGAGACTTTGTGATTGCCTGTTGCCTCCTGACTGGGTCAAGGAACTCCCCTGCATCTGCCCCCCTCCCCTTCCTCCTTTCTCAGCTGTCCTGTTAACCAGAGTTTTTGGAGATCACTGAGTTGTATGTGCAGGCGTTGTAGGTGTTTTTCCAACTCCTTGGCAATTTGTAGGGCTGCTGGAGGTGCCTTAAGTAGCCGTTAGCTGTTTTCTTCTGTTATGTTGGCAGAGAAGAATTAGGTTGCAGCAAGTCATTCTTCTGTTCACAATCTTTTCCTTCAGTGGTTTTTCCCAGAATGTATTAAGAATGTATTCCCAGAATGTATTAAGAGTGGAGCTGGGTCTGTTTTTCCAAATAGATCAGAGAAGTTTGCCATTGTATTTTTTAGAAATGAAATAGCATTTGTCCTCCATTATCTTGTGTTTCCCTGGCTGTTGGCATTGCTAACTATCCCTGGTTAATTTAATGAAATTTTTATTGCTTTATTACTGTGCTATAGTTTTACTGATTTGTTTTATGGTATTTTATCATGATGTTATCTTGGGAATTTAAAGTAAGTAGCATTAGTAGCCATATGGAAATCTGCTGAAATAAATAGTGTAAATAAATAAATAGGCCCTCAGGATCTGTGTTGGAGGTCCTTCTTCAGGAGCCCTCTTTGAAATAGATTAGGAGAGTGGCTACCCAAGGAAGGGCCTTCTCCGTGGTGGTGCCCCAGCTGTGGAACCTGCTTCCCAGAGAGGTCCGTCTGATGTGACTCTTTATTCATGTCAATGCCAGGCCAAAACCTTTATATTTTCTCATTATTTTAAGATCTAGTTTTTATTTAGTTGAGTTTTCATTATAGATATGATGCTGTGCCTTTGTTGTTGAACCATCCTGAGACCTTTATGTATAGGACAGGATACAAAAGTCTGATTTCAAGTATGTATGCCTAGGTTTTCAACCATACAAGCATTCAGAGGGACCATCTCCCCCCCCCCCCGATTTATATCCTGCCTTCTTCCTACAAAGGGCTCAAGGCAGCTTACATCTCCTCCTCCATCTTATCCCCACAACAACAACAACCCTGTGAAGTAGGTTGGGCTGCGAGTCTGTGACTGGCCCAAAGTCCCCCAGTTGGCTCCATGGCTGAGCGGGAGGACTAGAACCCAGATTGCCTGACTCCCAGTCCCATGCTCTTAACCACTGCACCACACTGGCTCTCTAAAGCAGGGAAGGGCAAGGTAGTTCAGGATCTACTGGTAGATTTCTGAGTGCTTTGAGAAAACATGAAAACAGAGTGAGACAGAAGGGGTCTCCCAGGTCATCTAGTCTGACCCCTGGCTCCAACCGGCTCCACTCATGACATGCCTACCACTGGGTAGAGTTTCTGACAACCAAAAGGCATCTTCCCTCCTCCCAACAATGCAACCCTATGCATGTTTGCTCAGAAGTAACTCCCACTTGCTCAAAATTAAGTCCCACTAGTGTTCAATGGGACTTACTCCCTGTTAAGCTTGCATAGGGTTGCTAGCCAAGTAGACTGCTAAAATCAAGATTTTTGTGGGATAGGAAGTCAGGAGTGTTTCTTTCATTGATAGGAATGTGAGCTCAGTTCTGGTTCCAAAAGCAAATTTCTGGGCTGGAGTAAGTATTCAGAGGCACCGCTTTCCTTAATTTTCTGAATATATTTGGACATCCTGAGCTACTGCTTTGCATCTGGTTCCAGTGGCAACATGGGTAAATCTCACAAGTTTGAAGTCTGACCATATCTAACCAAAAGTAATACAAAACCTTGCTAGGTTTTCCTCATTGAAATCCTAGTGCTGGAGAAATACTTGTCTGCTAGGCAGGTTGTGACATAGTTATGACAATTGCAGGGCAGTGGAGCCAGTTCTTGTGCATTAACACACAAGGTGAGGAGAACATTTTCATGTAGTAAATTTCTAACCCTAACCCTGTTGAAGGCATTGTTACCTTGCAAAAAAAAAGTTGACTACCCTAGCTAAAGATTTATTGCAATAGAATTTCCCTGGCTTTTCTGATTACTTTTTGAAAATCTACCTAACCAGGCAATCCTGAAGAGATCTTTGAAGCCAACCTGCACCCTTTTACCCTTGATGAAGAGAGAACACAAAAACAACCTGGAATTCTTCCTGACCCATCTTGGAAAAATCCACCTAACAGGGTAAGGGGATGGGGAAAGAGAATGGAGAAATACCACAGCCTACGTTTCATGTTTGGAATGGATTCAGTTTATGGTGTGATCCTATGCAAGTAGAGACAGAAAAAACTCACAGCATTGTAAGATTTTTCTCATTTAAATATAGATAGGGCTATTCCCTTAATTGTTTTGGCCCTCAGTATTCTTGCTATCCTATAGTATTTTGATGTTTTAGTACAGAAGTGCTGAAATTCTGTTTATTCCATTAGTATAATAGAAGAATGGGTTCTGTTGTTTTCATTTAGACTGAAAAAGCTAGTCTGTTTTTCTTCAAAAGCTTTGTATAGTGTCCAGCTTATTCATACATATATTAATATTAAAAAGCAGAACTTCAGTTCCGATTGATGCTGGGGTTCTTTCAGGGTTATAGTGAAATTCAGAGAGGAAGGTTGAAACAAGTAATGTGTCTTGCATCTTTAGAAGGGGCCAGTGGCCCAGAAAGTTGGTGGAGGAGTAATAATCATACATTCTTGTTTTTTGGTTCTTAGAATAAATATCCTGGCAAACAATCTGTTTCCACCTGTTGAATATCCTGCCCCCATGGGAACGCCACTCATTTCTCCTTATATTCTGTGGGACCATAGTCAAACATGGGATATCCCAAAAGCCGAAGATTTCCCGACAGGCTCTGGGAGTTCTGGAGCAGCAACAGTCTACAACATTGGTGCGTTCTTGAAGTTGTATGCCTCAGTTCTGCAAAAGCAGAAATCTGCAGTACTTTAGATTAGATTAGATTGTTTAGCAAAAGGACCCAGTTAAGTCATGGGGAGGCAGTTGGAAATGGGGAGGAGAACAGTATTTACAGTACTGAAATGTATAAAACAAGAGGAAGAGTGAGAACAAGCATACTTGAATGTTGGTCAGTCTTGGGAAGTAGCTTTGCAGTCTTATTGAAGCAAAGCTTTATAGAGAGTTTTGAAAGATACATTCCTTTCTTTTCCATATTCATTGACAGATGTGAATCCCGAATCACCTGATTATTATTTAATGGGCCACTGCATTGATGGCAGGGTTTTGTACCCAGCCACTGGCTACCTGGTACTGGCCTGGCGCACTCTGGCACGCTCTCTGGGAACCTCCATGGAAGAAATGCCTGTCATGTTTGAAGATGTTACAATCCACCAGGCAACAATACTTCCTAAGAAAGGTGAGGCTGGTAAAGGTCCCTCCATCTTTGGTACAGCATGATATGGGCAAATGAGCTGCTTCCCATTTATTTATCACAGTCTGGTGAAACCATTTTTGTCCAGGTATGCTTCAACGAAATGGTACAGGTGAGGTTCCTCCAGTGCAGCCTGAGAGCCCGTTCAGCTTCAAAGAGCTCTGGGGGGAAGTGCATTCCAGCAGGGGATGGAGCCAAAGGCAAGAGAGGCGGAGCACAAAACACCTGCCTCTTGTCACTTACAGATCTTGTTGCCAGTAGCTAAGCCTTAGGAGAGGCATTCCGATGTTTTAGAATGAGGAGCAAGCTGCACAAAAGCTGGGAAATCACCAGAAGATTGGAGGTTGAGGGAAGGGTGGTGGGACCCGGAGAAGAGTGTGTAGCTGTCCAGGGGCCACTGGAGGGCTATACTGGGACAACTGGGTAGCTGGCTTTGGCCCACAAGCCTGAGGCACCACACTCCTGATCAAGTAGCTAACCAGTCTCTGGCTATCTTGCAGGCTCAGTCCAGCTAGAGGTCAGACTCATGCCTGCTTCCCAGCTTTTTGAAGTGTCTGGGAATGGAAATCTGGCCGTAAGCGGTAAGTAAACGCTTCAAGTACATTGTCTCTGAAGGAGCCGGTAGGTGTGCATGCCTGGCCATTGACTACTGTCTGTGTATCACGTCTCCCAGGAAAAATTTGCCTTTTGGAAGACACAGCTCTGAATAACTTCCGAAACCAGCAAATCGACATGGGGACGCAACCAAACACTTGCTCAGAAATCCGCTTATCGAAGGGAGACATTTACAAAGAGCTTCGCCTGCGTGGTTATGACTATGGACCATCATTCCAGGGACTCTTGGAATCCAGCAGCAATGGTAACCCCATGTTTCTAACTGCATGATAGAAATAAGGGGTTTTGTTTAGCAGCGTTACTAGTTAAAGTGACTGGCCATGAGTTGAAAGTGATTTATAATTCAGGTATGAGAGATTCAGACATTTGCATGCTTGGCAGTTAAAGAAGATTTGAGAAAGTGAGGGCCCATGAGCTGTCCTGAAAGCACAGGACATCTTGAGTCAGAGCCAAGCAATTTCATTTCAAGATAAAATGAAAACAGCTGACACAGTGAAGGTTGTAGGGCAAAGCATTTTTCTTAATTTACATGTGTCCAGGAGTATCCCACCAGTAGTCATTGCATGCTAATGAGCTTGTTTCTCCTCCTCAGGGAATACTGGGAAGGTGTTGTGGAACGGGAATTGGGTGGCATTCCTTGACACCCTCCTGCATTTGATCATCTTGGGGGAAACGGGGAGAAGTCTACGCTTGCCAACCAGAATCCGTTCCGTGTGCATTGATCCAAAGCTGCACCTACAGCGTGTGCTCAAATACAGTGATGAGAGTGAAGGTAATAGGCATCCCCCCCAACACGCCCCTTCTTTACACACTTGGCTGCGGCTTCTTTAGAGGAACCCATATTCTAAAGTTGCCAGACCAGCCTCAAACAGTCAGATGGATTTGTGGGTGCTGCAAAGCTAGAAGCAGCTGGAGCGTCTCTGACTGAATCAGCCCTTAAACTGGATCCTGGGAAGTCCCTCTGCATCTGATGGGTTTCAGCACTTTCAGCTGACTCACTCCTTGTCTTGCAGCTTTTGATGCTGCCGTGGACCGTTGCCTTGATACCATCACCGCAGGAGCCGTTCAGATCTCCGGCCTTCACGCAAGTGCAGCTCCTCGGCGACAACAGGAACAGACCCCTCCCACACTTGAGAAATTTTCCTTCGTGCCCTACATGGAGAGCGGCTGCTTGTCCTCCAATGCTCAGCTTCGCTCCAGCTTTGAACACTGCAAAGGTATAAAGAGTTTCTATCCCTGGAACTACTTCCTGAGAGGATGCGCCCTGCACAGGGGAGACATGAGGGCCAAGAGAGCATCACCAAACCTTCTGCTTGATGTCAGCAATGACCAGAGACTTTTTAAAAGCTAGGAGTCCCGATTGCGCAGCTTTATATTTTGAAATCACTTCTAATAGTTTTAATTGTTGAGGACCGGCCAGAGAACTTTGGCTGCTGAGTGGTATATATATGTAGTAAATTAATAAAAATCAGGGAGGATTAAAAGCGAACCTGAAAATGTACATGCTGCAATTCTTAGCCTTGGGAGACAGGAGTGTAATCTCTGTCAGTCCTGCTAAGAATAGACCCATTAAAATGTTTGGAGCTTAAATTAGCATTACGTTGATGCAGCCCACATTGGATCAGCACATACATCACAGGAGAGCACTCGCAAAGCCTTTGGCAAATTGTAACACTTAAGTGCTGCCATGAGACAACAGGCCATTTTGTTCTCCAGGCCAGAGTGTGTCTCTAGGAATAGCAGCCCCAGCAATAATTCTCAGAGGAGGCGCCAGACTTTGCCAAGAAAGCAGAATGCCCATTTGAGTCTCTCAGCTTCCGACGTACTTTTGGTACGAGTTGAGTAAATTAACTCAGTGCTACCACATGTACAGCAGACACTTAGGGGCATGACTGAGTCAGGAAACCAACTCCACGGGACACAGGGGTTCTATTCTGCCTCGCTGGATAAATGGCCAGTCCCTGAATGATATAGAATCCCTTTAAGCTATAAAAGCACATCTTCCTTTTTTTTGACATAGCTTTGATCCTGAAGAAGGTATTCCAGCACAGTATTCCATGGCATCTTCTTTCAAATCAGTGTATAATAAATGTAAACTTAATATGCGTTTCACAGAAACCCATAATATTTTCTCTCTGATTACCAAACTCACTCCGGTCTCCCCTGGCTCCTCCACATTTGGCTCCTCCACATTTCACTCCCTCTGTTACAGTGCTGAAGGCAACTGCCTCCTCCTTCAATCAGAAGTGGTGAGGATGAAGCGTTGGCATTCATTTAGCTCATATCTGTATTTATTTAATGGAAACTTCCCTTGATAAAAGTTCTTCAGTTGTATAAACTGATAACAGTAACATACCATATGGCATTAACGTGAATGGTTGACTGAAATATTAGTAGAAAACCTACTCCTAAATTCAATACATTCTGTATTCTGAGTCGCAAAAGCGCCAGTGACATCAGTATTTCTGTATGCTGATCTTCTTCTGTGCAGTGTTGATCCAGAACTTACAGAAGAAGATAGCAAAGCATGGAGTCAAGTTGGCTATTCCAGGACTAGAGATGGCAAAGCCCCTCACAAAGATAGATCCTGGCCAGAAGGGCCTCCTGTATATACTTGCCGAAATCTGCCGCTTGGAACTAAATGGAAACCTCCACTCAGAGCTAGAACAGGTCGTGACACGGGAGAAGCTGCATCTCCAAGAGGATCCCCTTCTCAATGGCTTGCTGGACTTTGCTGAGCTGAAGACTTGTGTGGACGTAGCACTGGAGAACATCACCAGTCGTAGGATGAAGATAGTCGAGGTGAGCTTTAGCGCACCTCTGCGTAGCTCTGAAACAAGTGTGCTTTTCCCCGTTTGCTCATCCTATCTTGCCTCTCACTGACCACTCCTCTGTGTTTACAGGCTCTGGCAGGAGACGGACGCTTATTTTCACGGGTTACAAGCATCTTAAACACTCAGCCCATGCTGCAGTTGGACTACACTGCCACCGACCGGATACCAGAAATACTGGCATCAGATCAAAACCATTTGCAGGAAATTGGGGTTTCCATTGACCAGTGGGACCCAGCCAGCCCTGCTTCTGGAAATCTGATGAATGCTGATCTTCTGGTGTGCAACAGCTCACTGAACATGTTCAGGAATCCAGCAGAGGTACTCTCCAACATGGCAGCCACAGTGAAGGAAGGGGGTTTTATCTTACTGCACACTCTTCTGAAGGGAGAAACTCTGGGAGAAATTGTTGGTTTCCTCACATCTCCAGACCTACAGGAAAAACAACCAGGTCTCCTGACTCAGGTACAGTAAATGCTGCTTTTTCTTTTCTGTCAGCTGTAGATGAGCAGCGGTAATGAGCAGCGGTGAAGTTTTACTTCATCTCCCAGCAGTTGGGACTATTTACTCTACTGCTAGGGGGATTCTGGGAGTTGATGTCCAAAACATCTACAGAGCTACCTTCTGCCCATCCTTGCTCTAAATAATATTTCTCTTTAAGAAAAAAGAATAACTATTCCATTGTTCAAATTATTTATTACCATTCTTAAGGATTAACAGCACAACCTTGGACTAAGAGCCGTTGAGTTAATTGTGACTTTTTCTCTGTGATGTGTGTGTATATAATTGCAGCCTTTAAAAATGAATTGCAGTGCACATGTTAGAGCAGTATCAAATAGGACTGTGGAATATTTTGCCTTTTTACAGTGGAAGAAATAATAATAAATCAGCAGTGGATTTTAGCTCTGGGAAACCAAGACATTTATTTTGGCCACGTACAGCTACAAGGTCCCAGCAGTACTAAATGATCAGTCATTTCCTTGGCTACTTCATTTTCTCATGGGAGTGAAAGCTCTTCATTTTCCAGATGTGAATCTGATGTAGCATCCACTTGCCAGGCCTTTTAAAACAGGACAACAATGAGAGGGGAAAAATAGCAGAGATACAGCCAAAGTATTCGTTATTTGTTGTTCGGCACCAGGCTAAGACCTTTTTATTTAAAACTTACTTTAATCGTTAATTTATTATATATTTATAGGATTTTAAATTTTTAGCCGAGATGTTACCGGGCTTTTTAATCTTTATTGTATTTAGTATTATTTATATGTTTTTAATTAAGTTGTGAGCCGCCCTGAGGCTTTGTTGCGATGGGGGCGGCATAGAAATGTTTTAAATAAATAAATACATAAAGTCATGGAGTCTTATAACATGAATGGCAACATTCCCACAAAGCTAATGTCGAACGAAAGTGACTTAGACTAAGATCCAAAGAGAAAAGAAATGGGGAGGAAAAAGCCTTCATTTTGCTGAATAGTCCTATTGGCCAATAGGAGATATATCAGCAGAGATTTGGGCTGTAGTCCTAGACATGTTTATTTACTGGGGGATGAGCCTGATCAAACAGTGGGGCTTACTTCTGAGGACTGCACTGTTGAGCCTGTCAATGTCTGCGTTATCAGTTCTCTTTCCAAACAAACCCCATTTCAATATTCAACGTGCATTAATGTCAATTACGTTATGGATGTTAGCTGTTTGTAGGTGTTGAATGCAATCTAACAGAAGCCAATAATATTGCCCTAAAAGTAACGAGAAGGGCAAAACAAGCAGAGCTCCGGACCAGAGTCGTGGTTCCCAAGCCCTGCTTTACAGCACCTACAACCCCGAAAATCTTTCTTCAAGAGCCACATAACTGGCCTAACGTAACCCCGACCAGACCCTGAACGGCCCTTCTTTTACTTGCCTTGTAGGCAGAATGGGAGGGCCTATTCAGCAAGGCCGCTCTCCGCCTGGTGGCTGTGAAAAGATCCTCCTTTGGTGCAGCCATCTTCTTATGCCGTCGGCCACTTCCTCCCAAGAAGCCCGTTTTTCTGCCTGTGGATGAAGCTCATTACAGATGGGTGGAGCCTCTGAAGGTAAAGACTTTCAGTATGAGAAGTCCCAGTTTTTATGACTGTTTTATTGATTGCTGTGCTGCTCTTCGTTTGTTTCATATTGTATTTTTAAGCTATTTGTTTTGTATTTTATGTTTTTAACTCTCTGTATGGCATTTCAGCCTTTTAGCTGTGGTCTACCCAGAGATTATTGGCTATTAGGTGGATCATCAATGAATGAATGAATGTAGGATTTCTCAAAGAAAACCTTTCAGTTTTTTAAAAATGTACTCTGTCTTGCATGTGCTGCATTATGTGGATCTCTCTTCCTTCTCTATGGTGACTCTCAGATGGCCTGGGATTTCTCTTACAGGAAATGCTAGCAGAATCTTCTGAAGAAACTGTATGGCTCACTGCTACCAGCTGTGATACCTCTGGAGTGCTTGGTATGGTGAACTGTCTACGGCAAGAATCTGGGGGACACCGGATCAGGTACAAAACACCAGCATCCAGTGACAGCATCTGTTTCCAGTCACTTCTTATGGCTTTCTAATTACAAATATGGGTGAAGTGAGCAATAGATTAAATGCTGTATTTTACTTCCCAGGTGTGTTTTTGTTTCCAACCTGGATGCATCTTCTCCCAGACCCTCCACCAGTCCTTCTTCCAAGGAGATGGAGGAAATTCTACAGAAGGATCTGGTGATGAATGTTTATCGGGATGGAAAGTGGGGGTCCTTTAGACATCTCCTGTTAAAACAAGGTGACTCATATGCCGAAAGGACAGGCATCTTGTAGCTTTTCTTTCTCTTAGAATTGACACACCCCCATGGGGCCCTGTCTTTCTTGGCCATAATAATCAAAGTAAATGATCTTCTTGTGTCCCTGAGATATTAACAAATATTCCTCTGAACACAGCCAAATGATAGGACTCATTTTGCAATTAGTTGATACTGCAGGCATAAAGTCTTAGGAATGGCAGAATGAAAAGTATTGGCTGACAATACACTCTTCCCCTTTTCTGATATCCAGAGAATCTACCGTGCAATAGAAAGGCTTTGCTTTGTCTGTATCTGTAAAATGGAAGAAAGCTAACTGCTGTATCTCCTCTTCCCCAGCTCAACCTCAAGAATTGACTGAATATGCATTTGTGAATGTATTAACACGTGGAGATCTTTCCTCTCTGCGCTGGATTGCTTCCCCACTACGCCATTTCTACACAACCAATCCGAATGTCCAGCTTTGCAAAGTCTATTATGCATCTCTCAATTTCCGTGACATTATGCTGGCTACAGGAAAACTCTCCCCAGATGCCATCCCAGGTAAATTAGGGAATGTTTCTAGCAATACGTTTTACAGTTAGCACTGCTGACTGTAATCCACCCCTTTTCTTTATGAATAAAAAAATGATCTGAAAATAAGAGGTATCTTTGTCTAAAACAGGGAAGGAGCACAATGATCAGGGGTTATATTTCAAGGGTAAAGCACAGACTTTGCTTACCAAAGGTCTTGACTTCGACCTTTGACATTTCCAGGTAAAGAATCTTTGGCAGCCGGGGCCTGGAAAAGCTGATTTCAGTCATAGCCAGTAGTAAACTAAAAGAGTTGCTTGTCTGGCTCTGGGGCCTTGTATCTATTTCAAAAGGGCAGGGTTGTATTCCACAGAGCCCTGATTTTCCATTGGTGTCAATAGAAAGATTATTTGGATGAGAAATTGATCAGCTGGCTTTGCTTTCTGTAAAATTAAACCCTAGTAATTATTTCTAATTTGCATCTGTGTATGAATTAACATATGCAGATTTTACACAGATAAGTATAAAATAATTTCACAGATGAGATTATTTTACACAGATCAGTGTTTTATGTGCCTCAGATATTTTAAATGGCTAGCAGCATCCCTGATCGGGCAGCTTCATATGAAAAAATCTAGTGAAACTGCCTTCCATCTGGGAATTTGTATATTATTGCCTAAAGATTTATTTAGAATTGTGAGGGAAATAAATAGTATACCCATTTTTCATGGTTGGATGGAATTAAAATGAGGACATTCTTCTTCCAGTCTTGCTATTACCCCACGATAAATTCACTTTGCCTCAGTCATGATTTCCTCAGTCAGGAGACTGGATTAACTCTCTTGCTTTATGTAGCAGAATGATGACATAATGCCACACTGGCAGAAATTGCTTGGGCAACTGATACATGTGGTAGACAAGCTTGATATGATGGTGGAACCAAGGTAGCTTTTACCCTCCTGCTAAGTTACTTCAAGTGAATGTTACTAATTTTGGGGGTTGATGAGGAGCAAAGTTATTCCTGCCTCTGCTTAAGCCAGATCCTGCACCTCTAGAAATTAAAAGCATGGTGATTTGTAACTGTCTGTATTTATATGTGCTCCAACATGGAGGATGCCAAGAAATGAAACTGAACATTCCAAGCATTTCTTTTTAATGAGCGTTTGGTCAACAGCACTTGATCCAAGCAGTTTCACAGGACCTCCTCTTCTTTTTCAGGAAACTGGACACTGCAGCAATGCATGTTGGGAATGGAATTCTCAGGATGTGACCCAGCAGGAAAAAGAGTGATGGGGTTGCTACCAGCCAAAGGACTAGCTACAGTGGTGGACTGTGAGGAGAAGTTCCTGTGGGAAGTGCCACAAAACTGGTAGGCAGTGTCTCTACTGCGAGTCCAATCCTGCGGCCTCCTGACATTGTCTCTGGGCTCATGGGATTGTTCAGGATCCCACCTATGAAGACCTGCAGGCTCAGAGCATGTGCTCTGCGCCAATCCACCTCACACCCAGTGTGGAGAGACCCATGCCAGTCTTGAGCCAGTTTGCCTTTCTAAGGTTGCAAACTGGCTTTGGAGAGGGCTAAAGGAGGCTGTTGGAGCAGGGGCAGAGAGGGGAGGAGGCCGGGATCCCTCCCCCTCCACAGTGCTTCGGCCAGGTGGCAAAAAATGGCTCTCTCAAAGCAATGCAGGCAGAAATCACCACCAATTCCTGCATTGGATGCTCAGAGACGCACATGCATTTCCCAGAGATGGGATTGAGCCACACTCTAGATGATCGGAAAGCCTTTCCAAATAAGCAGGGGTTTAATAGAAGAACTGTGCCAGCAGCAGCTGGACTAGATTAACTATTGTTTGAGCTGTATAACTATTGAGGAGTATCTCTGTTGTTTTAAATTAATCTGCTACTACCCTGGGGCCTTGTGAGTCATGTCTCTAGCCACAATATTCATTGACCCATAATTGCTTCTTTAATTAGAATACGCTCTGTATGAGGAAGGTGCTGTGCCACATCGTCCTTTCTTTATATCTCTTGTAGTGTGTTTTTAGTTACTACTCTGAAAAAGGCTTAATAGCAGAATTCATTATTCGTATGTTGAGAGGTGGATCCACCTGCCTCTGGGAATGAGTTAGAAGAGGAAGTTCATCCCCTTCTAGAATTAACTTGAAAGGCGGTTGGACTAGGGTTATGCTGAGGCCAAGCCAAGGTGCCCTTAGCAAAGGGCTGCTCATAGATGCTGGAAGCACTGCTTCAGAACCAAATTTCTTGCTGAGTATTTATTTGACAGCCTGTGTGATCTTCTGTGAGCTTTAGAAATGGCTTCAGTTTATACAAATCTAACCAAATAGTGTTTGGCAGCAAAGGGAGATGAACAAGTTTGCATTCCATTGCTCTGGGGAGTCTAAAACCTCCCTGGCTGGTGTGCATCTAGTCCACAAGCATTCAAATACATGCTGGAGCCTCCTGTTCTGTTTTTTTGCCAAAGGGAACAGACAGCCTTCCCCACCCCACACCCCAAGCCGGGCTTACTGAATACTCTTCTTTTCTACTTTTATTAGCCAATCCAGCAGCTGACATAAAACAAGATGTGTTTCTTGCCCCATTATAGAAGATCCAAACTACTTCTACACTCAGGAAACTACCAAATAATTGGTTATTAGTGGAAAGAGACTGGGGTCAAGGGGAAGGGCTTAGACCTTTGGCATAACCCCAGATTGGGGGCCCTGAACCTGACGTTTGGCCTCCTTGGTTGGAAAGTGCAGTCTTGTGCCCATTCTCTGGCTCCTGTAAAAAGCAACTGGCTTGTAGGTGAGGATAACTGACTCAGAAAAAATCAGTGCCTGAGAAAAGCTTCTTTCCCTTGCAGGACGCTGGAAGAAGCCGCTTCTGTGCCTGTGGTATATGCCACTGCTTACTATTCCTTGGTGGTTCGAGGAGGCATGAGGAAGGGCGAGTCTGTGCTCATTCATTCAGGCTCAGGCGGTGTGGGCCAAGCAGCCATTGCCATTGCCCTCAGCATGGGCTGTCGTGTCTTCACGACCGTAGGTAAGAAGGGGTGTCCCTTTCCCCCTTTCCCTCTTGATGACCAAGTTCCATTCTTCCATCTTCACGGATTCATAGAATATTGGAGTCGGAAGGGGCCAAGAAGGCCATTGGGTCCAAGCCCCTGCTCAGTGCAGGGCACTAATTTACACCATCCCACTCTTGGTTTAATCCTATTGCTTGCAATGCTAATACTCAAAATGCACGAGAGCTTTGGCTATGGGAAGGTATAGAAATTAAATGAATGAATTACATTAACAAATAAGCAAGGTGTTGGTGTTCAGAAACAAATTCATTTGGAGGGATTTGATACATTGACCAAAAATGACCAAGATACATGTTTTATTCCATAGAGGGGGAAATTGAGGATGTTAATAAGAATAAAACTGTTTTGTTTACTTGTTTCTTGGGGTTGGGGAATTAACTTTTGTGTTCCTTTTGGCACTTTTAACTAGAGCTTTGTCGAGACAGTACGGACAGTACACTTCTCCAGTCAACTTGATCTCTCTTTTGTGTAGGCCTGTGAGGGGGAGAAGTTTCCTGTAAGGCAGTGGAGTTTTACAGAAATGTAATGTTTATTTTCTGACTTCAGGCTCTAAAGAGAAGCGTGAATATCTCCAAAAAAGATTCCCCCAGCTTGATGCAAACAGCTTTGCCAGTTCAAGAAATACTTCCTTTGAGCAACATGTGCTGAAGATGACCAATGGGAGAGGTACGTGCACTGCTTGGAGGGCCTCCAAGGGTGAGAGCTCCCAGTAGCACTTAAGAAGATTCAGTTAAAAATGCATGTTGTGTCGATAAACACAGAGGAACTGCTGGGGAGGCAAGGCAGTGTGCAAAGCTGAATTCTCATGTTCCTCATCCCTGCAGGTGTTGACCTGGTATTAAACTCCTTGTCAGAAGAGAAGCTCCAGGCCAGCCTCCGTTGCCTTGCTCGACATGGGCGCTTCCTGGAAATAGGCAAATACGACCTGTCCAACAACAGTCCCCTTGGTAAATTTTCACTCAGATTTCTGCCTTTGAGTACTGAGATGCATGGCCATTCGGTGCTTTACTGTGCTAGATATCCCAAATTAACCATTCACTTTTCATTCCATACTTAAGATCACATAGAGTTGACTTCCTGAGGCATTCCAGATGCCTCACATTCTCTGTGATGAATAGAAAGTGGGTTTGAGAATACAAAGCAGAGAGCAAAATCCATGGTTAATATGCATGTGCTCACATTTTATTGTGCTAAAGTCTTGAACCTCCCAGCTTTCTCATAACTACATTTGTAAGTATGATGGAAATATGTGCTTCCCACAAAAAAAATAGTCTAGATTCATTGCTCTTCTGATCTTGTTTTTCCGAAGGTCATAAAGATTTGTGGCAGGCCAGTTCAAGGCCACCACAATAATATTTTCTAGAGTTTATTTACCCAGCACCAGTTTATTCAAAGTGAGGAGCACGTCCTTTGTAAAACTAATGGTCTGAATTGCCCCCTCCCTCCAAGATACTATTCTTTTTAACAGATATACTTAGCACAGAAAACCAATTTCCTCCCCTACTGCCGCCCACTACTGGCAGAATTGTAGTTAATTGTGGAAGAAACAGGAACTCTGGTTGGTGCAGTGGGCAGTAGACGACATTCTCCTCTCTGCTGATCAAAAAGTCCCAGTGCTTTGGCCCTGCAAGGCCTGGTCCAATACGCTTAACTATCTTAAAGAGACAGAGCCAAGGATACCAGCAGCAGGCATTTTTCTATCATCTCTGAGCCACCTTTGACCTTCCCCACTGGCAATCTAGAGGGCTGGCATGGGGCCACCACAGAGTGTACTTACAGTGACATCTTGGTTATTGTGGAATGGAGGACTTGGTCTTTCCCTGTATAGCCTCACATGGATCCATGTACAGTTCCTAAGAGATGCCCCCTCATTCCGCCAAGGACTGAGGGCTAATGACTGACTGATCTTCAATCTCTAGTGTGGATTCTTAAGCCCCTACATAAGGCGGGTCAGAGTAGTGCCTGGCCCGCTATAGTTTTCCACCTGCTGCCCCATTGTTGAAAGCAATCCTGCACCTCATCGGAGTCCACCTAGTGCTTAACCATGGCAGTTCTGTTAGCTTGTCTCTGTCTCTCTACAGCCAGTGGAATATCTGTACTTTCCCAATGACTACTTTTGCTTGAATAGTCTCCCTGAAATTAATAAAATCACTTATTAAGTCCCTTAATAGGATTCTTGAATGACTTTGTTCCCTAAAATGCCTTGTTCCCAGCATTGTGTCTAAGTTAGGATTGTAGCTAATACCTTTCAGAGGAGAAGTTTGTGGGTGATGTTTCTGTGAAACTTCTCTCTCTTAAGGCTTGCTCATGTGGAACTTTGTTCAGTAGCTACCACTGCTTAGAAAACACTTGCCTTGGTTTTTGCTGTTTTATTCTTACCAACTGTCAGATATGCAAATAGTTAAACTACAAGGGCAAAGAGCTTTGTTGGTAACAGGGGCTACAAAAGTATATAATACGAGTTGAAACGGTTATTACTTTTTCAAGGAATGGCTCTTTTCCTGAAGAATGTGGCTTTTCATGGAATCCTGCTAGATGCCATTTTTGAAGAGGGCAACCAAGAGTGGGAGATTGTGTCAGACCTGCTAAAGAAGGGCATAAGAGATGGTGTGGTAAAACCTCTGCGGACTACGGTGTTCAACAGAGAAGAGGTAGAAGCAGCCTTCAGATATATGGCACAAGGAAAACACATTGGAAAAGTTGTGATCAAGGTATGACTGGTAGATCCTGACACTGTGCTTGTGATCTGTGCATCAAAGTCTACAAATGGCATCAAACAATTATCAGTTGGACATTTATGCATTTGTAAACTGGGAGGCTGAAACTCAAATGCTTTGGCTACCTCATGAGAAGGAAGGACTCACTGGAGGAGACCCTAATGCTGGGAAGGATTGACGGCAAAAGAAGAAGGGGGCGGCAGAGGATGAGGTGGCTGGATGGAGTCACTGAAGCAGTTGGTGTGAGCTTAAGTGGACTCCGGGGGATGGTGGAGGACAGGAAGGCCTGGAGGAATGTTGCCCATGGGGTCGCGATGGGTCGGACGTGACTTCACGACTAGCAACAAAAACCGGGTTTGGGGGCGGGGGGCAGAGCAAGGTGATAAAGTTAATATTCAGCTTTTAAAAACTGCTGGGACTTACTAATTACTTATTTGTTACAGCTCCATAAAAGAGTAGCCAAGACAGCCAATAGTGATACTATCCACAATACAAAATGCCCAGTTCATGTATCACAATGAATAGCACAACAGAAGTTTCTAAGAACCCAAAGCACAGAATAAAAAAGCACACTTTAAAAATGCCAGCCAGTTAAGAACAAAATCAAATTTGAATGCAAAAAACACACCTTAAAAAACGGAGCAGCAAAGAAGAACAAATGAACTCAGCAGGCCAAATGGCTGTTTAAATGAGTATTTTGCTTGTCAGGAGGACGTGCAAAAGGGAAGCTAGATGAGTGTCTCTTGGTAGGGAGCTCCAAAGTTCACTTACCTTTGAATGGAGTTCCTTCCGTTTTGGAATTCATCTAGGAATCTCTGTAGGGTGTACACAGGGCTATGTCTGAACAGTTCAAATGACAACATGTTGAAGAGGAACTGGATGTGATACAGAAATGTGTGAAGCAGGATTCTGCAGCTGGCCCTGTATTGTTACTGTGTGCCAGAGGTGGAAAACTTGGGGACAGAACTTGGTCCGCCTGGGATCCAATGCATCCCTGCAGGGTTCCCTAGATGGGTCAACCCCCTTCTCCTTGTCTCACCTCCCCCCTGCCCCCCCGTCACCAATCATTAGGTGACCTTGCAGTTTTTGTGCAGGTTTTCCCCCACTCCGAAAGATTGAAATGCTTCTCTTAAGGTTGAGTTACTGGCAGAAAGAGCTTTACATTAAAGTAGGTTGCCATTTTTGGCCCTGCTCCCTGTGCCTTTGGCCCTGTGCACCACTGGAGTCCAGCCCCAGAGACCCTCCACAATGGAATTCAGCTGCTAGGCTGAAAGGGGACCCCCGCCCATGATAGGGGGAATTAGCTCTTTTGCACACTCGCTGTTTCCTGTCCCCCTGCCTTTGTCCGCTCTGCTCAAAAGTTCCACATCCAGCAGAACTTTTCACCCTGCTTAATGTTTTTTCTTTTGCTCCTTGTATACACCTGCATAAACTTGTGGAGCATGTTCTTGATATTAAACCATAATTGAAAAGTATTAACTTGGAGGAGGAAAAGCAAGGAAACCCAACACATGCTTGTCGGTGGATAACGCAGAGTGAGCCTTGGCTCTTCACCTGGGACAGCCTTTTAGGGTGCAGCATATCCCACTGCTATACAACTTCCTTACTTCAACGCTATCCTGTGTTATAATGTTTCATGCATTGTCCTTGCAGGTCCATGAAGAAGAGGAGAAATGTCCCACAAAGGAAACTAAGCTAACCCAGCTCCCCGCCATCTCCCGAACGTCTTGCCCACCACATAAGTCCTATATTATCACTGGAGGCCTTGGGGGATTTGGGCTGGAACTGGCTCAGTGGCTGATAGAAAGAGGTGCCAAGAAGCTTGTACTGACATCTCGTTCTGGTATCCGAACAGGTAAGCTGAAAATGAAAAGCAGTGCAGAGTAAAGATGGCGTCTATGAGAATTTCTGATGTAAGAGAACTCATGTTTTAAATTTTGTTCTTGATAAAAGCTGACTATAGGCTGTATCCAGTGCAAGGCTCACTTAAGTCCCATTCATTTCAAGGGGTCTATTTTAAATAGGATTAACACAAAATGCAAGCTTTTGTGTATAAGTTAAGTAAGGGTAAGGGAGGGATTGAGCGGGACCTCTGAAATGTCCTTGTTTAGCATCCGCTAAAAGAAACAAGCATGATGCCAGGGACAATTTTAGTTACTGAAAAATTCTGGAGTCTGATCCACAGGACAAAAACAATGCACAAATTTGCATATGTGAATTCATCTATACTCTAAAATATTTCTTTGTACCCTATCTCTTTGTGTATGTTTCTTTAAAAGAGCCTGTCTCCTGAACACCCCTATTCATAAACAGGGGAGGGGTGGGTGTTACATTTTTGCAAATCAGAAAGAAATATTCAAGGTAGTGAGCAGCTGGAGGTGAAGCACAGATGGGATCAGGTGCAACAGAGGTCGCTGGGGACCCTGTACCTTTATTTCAGCAAGTGCCCGTGGACAGGAGGATGGCGGGGGAGGTGGCCTCCCAGAGACTCGGGTCTCTCGGTGAGTCCTGGTGTTGGCCATAGTGGGCCAACCCCAAATGCCACCTCTGTGAGGAGCTTGGATATTTAGGAGCAATGGCACATACTTACCATTTATTTATTTCAAAGAATGCAGTCCTTAAGAAGGAGGGCAAGATTGTGACTGGGCTTGCAGGACATGACAACCTGCTGTGGGTATCTAGCCATGATGGCTTTCTGTGTTGCTCATTTTCAGACTGCTTTCCACAGGGTGGCTTGTTTCAAGGCAGTGAACCACCTTAACAGCCCATGGCTTGTTCTAGGGGTTCCTGGACCTACAGTGGGTTGCCTTAATGCTTGAACGGAGCAGAGCAATGAATTGTGGGTTATGGGGATTGGTTAGTGAGCCACTAAGTGAGAGGGGCAGAGCCCTCTTGCCACTCTTCGCTGTCTCGGCTGTGCTACTGCAAGCAATAGTCCGCGAAAGCCCCTGCAGTGGTGCCCAAGTGGCACTTTGGAGCAACTGCTCCCAGCTCACCACAGTTTTTCCTGCCCCAGGAATGTGCACACATCCCTTTGTAACATCGCTTATTCATTTTGTCGGTCTTTCACAGTTGCACAACTACACTCTACCTATGTTTCAAGGGTGGGAAGTTAATGGAGGAGACATTTCTGTTGTACATCCCCGTGGAGGAGACTGAAAAGTGCCAGTGCACACTAGAAATCAAGAAGATTACATTGCTAAGGAGATGATACGCCCACCCCATTTGGGTGTCCCTGCTCTACCTTTAGTTTCCCTTTGCCAGCGGCTTCCAGTTAACAGCTGTTGGCTACTCACGACTTGGCCTATAGCAGATGCCCTTGTCAACCTGTTATGACAAGGGCATTGGCCAGGTAACACTGCATATACTTCTGACAGCCATAACTGCATGCTGGTGCCACTGTGAAAGACCAACAAGAATATGTAGCTATTGGTACACGTATGCATGGCTATATATATATATATTTGAATAAACGATCCCAAATGTACTTAGCTAAGCTCTAAACAAGAGAAACCCCATGGCAAACCAAAAGGGGTTGTGATCAGAGTGGGGAGCAGGGAGTTGTGCCGTGAGGTGCGCTGGGCTGCTGGCTGGAGGACCAGGGCAGGGGAGGAGGGTGTGACAGGCATGCAGGAACAGCCCACAGTGTTTCTCATTCATGGGGTGGGTGGTCATGTTGTGCAAACTCAGACACTTATCAGGAAAGGAGGCCTTATCAGATTTGTGATAACCGCCATTGCCCTGATCTGTTGTGGAAATATTTGCTCCTCCTAATGAGATACAAATTTATAAGTGGGGCTGGCAAAGGGTAGGAAAAAAGCAAATAGCATATATTCTTAATTTGCCTTGCACATGCCTCCACTTTTAGTTGTTTCTGTTACTATGTCTCAGAGGGCAATTAGGAATGCATGCAAAATATCAACGCCATATGTTTAACGTTATTATATTGCTGCAACCACATGAATATTCTTTGGTAGTTGCAAAGTGTTGTGTGTGGATGTTCTGGCAAATTCCAGGGGCATACATGTGAGACTAATTGTTTTGGCTGGACTGGCAGCTCAGAATCTGGGGATGAGATGGTGGTTGAAACGGGCCCAGTCCCAGCTGTGCTGCAGGACTCTGGGCCCCTGCCTTTGTCTGTTACGGAGGAGATTCGATCGAGGGCAGCCGAGGGGACCAGTCAACGCACCCCTGGGAACGGGGAAGAGCAACGACATCTTGAGGGAGGAGAATTCGAGATGGGGAGTGCATCAGGCAGGGAACTCCCACCCCCTGAGGAGGTGGATCCGACAGTCCATTGTCACAGGCGTAGTGGCTCTGAGGGAGCAGCACAGGCTCCCCTGGTTCCATCGCATTCTTCCCCCAGGGACAGTTGCAGAAGGACCCATAAGCGAAGCTTTGGGTGAAGGGTTTAACATCTTGCTTTGTGCATGCTCAGTGACTTGCATGTGAAAAAAGACATTTGGCAAAGAAGTGCAGGTGATACTGTTACTTCTGGGAGGGAGAAGCTTGACTCCCAACACAAAGATTCCTGCAGCATCTGTATGTATGCTAGTTTTAACTCCAGGCAATGAAAAGGAGACCGGTCTCTCTGGATTCCTTTTACTGCCAGAAACAGAGCATAGCTTTGTCAGTGCGCCCAGTGTCCAATGAACCCTATTCTAGACTCCCTTGATTTTCAGGTTACCAGGCTAAACGAGTTCAAGAATGGAAACAGCTTGGGATCCAAGTTCTGGTATCGACCAGTGATGTTGGGACTCTTGATGGGGCGCAGTGCTTGATACAAGAAGCTTCTCAGCTTGGGCCTGTTGGGGGCATCTTCAACTTGGCCATGGTAAGTGACAAGGACTTAGGACCACCTTGACTGTGACGGTTTCTTCCCTGGCACTTAAGTTTGGTCTCGTGAGCTAGCAGCAGCTCGCATGAGTCTCTTCTGCAGTTTCTTCTGGACGGGTCTAGAAATGGGAATTAGGAGTCTGTCCATGCCTGCCTTCAGTGTTCCCTGGCTAGCGACATTGTATAAAAATGACCCCCACCTTAAAAAGCTCCACAACGTTCTGGTGTTGGGACTATGCTTACATTACAGTCCTGCATTAAATAAAGAGAAGCAGGAGCTATAAAATGATGTTTTATCCTAGATCAGGGAGGTAGAGCCTCTTTTAGCCTGGGGGGCAAAATAAGGTTTGGAGAAGCTTGGGGGCAACATCTCAGAAGGGGGCAGAGTCAAAGGAAAAGGGAGTGGGGCCAAATGTACAAACTTCACTGGCATCTTGTGATTTAAAGCTCTTTCTGTCTTAGGAGAGGCATTTAGAATGGGGAAAGGCTGCACAAGAGCCAGGAAATCACCAATCAGTGGTTTGGGGGAAAGATGGAAGGGCCAGAAGAAGGCAGTATGGTTTTCTGGAGAACTCAAGAGGGACAGGTTTGGCCCCCGGGGGGAATGGATTTGGCTTCTGGGCATGAAGGTTCACTCTGAGACAATTCCTGGGTATTTATCTTGATACTTAACTAGGATGTTTATCTTGTTGTGACTGAGGGTGAATGAAGAATGAGGGTGAGCGAAGAATCTGAAAATGTTAATTCTGGTTTCCTACAGGTCTTGAAAGATGCTATGCTGGAAAATCAGACCCCAGAACTTTTCCATGAAGTCAACAAACCCAAGTACTTAGGCACACTTAATCTGGACCAGTAAGTGGAAAGTGAAGAATGACTATGAACTCCTGCTGGACTGGATGGTTCTAGAGACTAGTATGAAATGAATAACAAATATTCCTCTTTGTTATATTTTCTTCTAGAGTAACCCGTCAAAATTGCCCAGAACTGGACCATTTTGTTGTTTTCTCTTCAGTAAGCTGTGGAAGAGGAAATGCTGGGCAGAGTAACTATGGTTTTGCCAACTCCACCATGGAGCGCATCTGTGAACAGCGACAGCATGATGGGCTTCCAGGTAATGGTTCAGCTCTTCCAGCTCTAAGGAATCTGTTTTCTCTAGGAACCAGTGAAAACAAATCCATATGGAGTTCAGCACATCCTGCTCGATGACTCTTGTGCTCTGCCCAATCCTTATGGTCACAACCAACCATGTTCTCTTGTTGGTCTGTGCATTTTTCATCTTCTCTCTTCTCCACTGCCAGATCCTCTGTAATCAATTGGATACTTCAATTGGTACAAAATAGAGCTGCCAGGGTGCTGACGGGGGCCGGTCATTATTCTCATATAATGCCAGTCCTCTACCAGCGACAATGGCTTCCGATCGAAGTACAGGCTCAATTTAAGGTGCTGGTGCTAACCTATAAAGCCCTAAACAGCTTGGGACCAGGATACCTGAAGGAACATCTCCTTCCTTATATGCCCTCACACCCCTTAAGATCAGCTGGAGGGCTTTACTCCGGGAACCCTCCTTGAAGGAGGTGTGGAGGGTATCTACCAGGAGGAGGGCCTTCTCTGTGGTGGTGCCCAGACTATGGAATGCGCTCCCCAGAAAGATCCACCTGGCACCGACTCTTTACTCTTTCTGGTGCCAGGTAAAGACCTTTTTATTTAGCCATCATTTTAATGAATAGGAATTTTAGATGTTTTAAGATCTGATCACAGTCGCGTTTTCTTTCTTCTCTTCTTTTTTCTTCCTCTTTCTCTTTAGCTTTTTTGGAAGTGTTGTTTCATGTTGTGCTATTATGTAATGTTTTAACTATTGTTTTATTGTATTATTATATTGCTATTTTAACCCCTGTAAGCTGTCCCAAGGCGTTTTCCGCAAAGAACTGGATAGAAATGTTTTGAATGAATGAATGAATGAAACCACCATCATGCATTTCTTCTTCCCTAGGCCTAGCTGTCCAATGGGGTGCTATTGGTGATGTGGGTGTCGTCTTAGAGACAATGGGCAGCAATGATACTGTGATTGGGGGAACTCTACCCCAGAGGATCAACTCATGCCTGGAGGTTTTGGACCACTTCCTCAACCAGCCTCACCCAGTCATGTCCAGTTTTGTCCTAGCTGAAAAGGTCTTGACGAAAAGTGACGGGGGTAACCAGCGAGACCTTGTGGAAGCGGTCGCTCATATTCTTGGTAAGCATCGCTGTGGATAATTAGCCCTCGTAATGATGTGATGCTCTCTCGGTTCAGAATCTGCACTGCAGAACAGTTTGCTCTGGTGATGTCCTCTCATAGCTGCAGCAGGAATACTTGCAAGGGTGCCATCCATCCCACAGGGGTTGGCAGACTTACTTATGATGGACTGTTTTCCATCTTGCTGCTAGTTCTCTTTTACTAGCAGAATGTATTGCTAGTGCACCAGGAATGAGCGATTCCTGCTGTGTCCACACAGACACAGTGGAAAAGCTCCTGAATGGAGCATCTCTCAGTGAGTTTGCCTGACCTGCTCCATTCCAGGAATTGGCATTATGGATCATTTCCACTTTTTTCAGACCCTGCTAGTGCCTGTTAGTCAATTCCACTAGTGCCAAAGCAAGAAAGGATACTGCTGGATACATTCGCTTGTCTAATCGATAACAAAATAATTCCCTACATGTTGCTTGTACTTTTTAACACAGTCATCGCTCTTATTGCATGACAACATTCTGTTTTCATTGCATCATGTGCGCTGCCTCCTACACTAGTATAGTAGCAGGCCTATTGTTTACTGGGAATTTCTTCAAAGAACCAGGGAGCTTTTGAAAAAGGATGTCAGGCACAGGGATTAAGCTAGGAGACACTGCACTGAAGATGGAGAAATCTTGGTGCAATACAAGTGGGATTAGATGTGGGAGGAAATTAGATGAGAGGAGTACACAGGAGTGTCCAATGGGGATTTGAAGGTGTGGATCTGTCATCTCTCCCTTCTTGAAAATATGGAAGGAGAGAAAGGCAGCAAAACTGGGGCAAGGGGCAGGATTAAGAGAGGCAGAGAAGGGGTGGAGTGACAAAGAAAGAAAGAGCTGTGCAACTCTGCAGTGCTGCAAAGCCCGTGCATGTTTGGCCTGGACTCCCTGCCCCACGGCTGGTTTTACCACTCCTGCTTCCAGTTGACCGTTCTCATGGATTGGTGGCCCTCCACAGGAAGAAAGCTCCCTGTTCCCATAATAAGGGTTAAGCAATTACTGACATACAGAAGGGACAAAACATTTTAGAAAGAGTTGGAAAATTTGGCTCAGTCCCCAAATCCTATAATGATTCCCTCCCCTATCCTGAAAGATGCCAGGTTAGCACTGAAAGGAAGCCTGTAAAGAAAGTGCTAACCGTTTGAGCCAATGGTCCAAGGGAGTTTGTCCAGGTATTGTTAAGCTTGTGTTGTTGTTGTTTTCCCTGTAGGTGTTCGTGATGTAAACAGCTTGAATGCCGACACCTCCCTAGCTGATCTGGGCTTGGATTCCTTGATGGGGGTAGAAGTACGCCAAACCCTGGAGAGGGACTACGATATTGTCATGTCCATGAGAGATGTTAGATTGCTTACCATTAACAAACTACGGGAGTTTTCTTCCAAAGCTGGCATCACAGACAGTAAGTGTATCCAGCCTTTCAGAATCTGCCCTGTTTTGGGGGGTTGTGGTGTGGAAGTGCAGGTGTCAGTGGGTGTCTACAGAGTTGCGCAAGCAGTCCAGTGCACCCAGTCCTCCACACTGCACTGCTCTGGAAACTGCTTGCCTCTGGTCAGCAGAAAGATGTTTCTGGTTATTGATGCAAATTTACCATTTCTGCCCAGTCCTCTGGGTCAAATGGGGACTAAATTATCTAGGCATTCTAGATGAGATACAGAAATGTGTGACAACTTGCAGCAAAACCTGGAACTCGGGTAGCTTTTTTGCAAACTTCCTCAGGTTTGAACTGTAGGACCAAATTAGACACGACATGGGACCATACATGACAGTCTCTCTCATAAAAAAAAATCCAAAACAGACACAAGGACCTACTAATTTGATTGGAGTCTCAGTACAAGGAGTTTGTTTGTTTGTTTCATTTTTAGACTGCCCAATAGCTGAGGTATTTTGGGTGGCTAACAAAAGAAAGGAGATTTTCTCTCCTGCCATTCCCACCCCCCTCCCCAAGTGAGATGAAATTGGTGTAACACTGAATGTATTTTTCCCCTGTAAAGCTAATAGCAGTTTTGGCCAGTAGCAGTTTAAGGAGCAACCTTCATCAGGTTGAAGACATGGCACAGGAAGAAAGTTTGAATTGCCCCTCCCACCTCCTCTGCTGTGGCCTGGATCTGAATCCCAGCCCCATCTAGAAGAAAGCCGTGAGGTTCCTGCTCTCTGCTCTCCTGTGCCACATCCAGCTGGCCCTTAGTTCTGCAGAGGCTAAAGCTTTACAATACAATCATGTGAGTCTGGTCCCAAACCAGGCTAGAGTCCTTTCACTCACCCTATTAAACGGACTGTAGCATGAACTGGCTCTTTCTAATGTGCATCTTGGGTTTTGTTTTCAGCCTTATCCCAGGAGACGAAAGGTGGTCAAGCTGAGCCACCCAAACTGAACTTGAATAACCTGCTGGTCAATCTGGATGGACCAACCGTGGTGCCGCTCAATGAGGTGAAGAGTGCTGAGCCTCCTCTCTTCCTCATCCACCCCATTGAAGGATCCATCACAGTTTTCAACACCTTGGCCTCTAAGCTGCGCATACCAAGCTATGGACTTCAGTGCACCAAAGGTACATTGGTCACTTCTGTTTCATTAGTCTAACCCACACAGCATCCTGGCATGTAATCTTAGGCCTTTCACAAACATGGGACCACTGTGTCTCCAAACCTAAAGAAAACTATATGTCACTAATTTGCTGCTAAGACAAGCCTTGCCCCCTACTTTCTAAACCATTCATTTAATTCAATAGAAAACCCAAAATCAAAATAGTATGTTTTAAAGCACAATAGTGAGATTTCTAGCACTCTTATCTTGTCAATTTCTTCTAAATGCTGAGGGTAACATGCATACATACATACATACACAGAGAGAACATGAAACAGCAAGAGAGCAGTGTTTATTTTATAGGGAAAAACAGTTCAACAAATGGGCATTTTCTTTTCTTTATTGTATACAGTCTGGGTTGAATTTACACGTGGCTCCTCTCCCCCATAACACACAATCCCTAGTTCTTTGTACTAATTCCGTTAATGCAATGTCCCTTTCACCTACTACCTGTGTAGGAGGTAATCTGTAGGTTCTAATCCCCTATACTTACAATTGTCATCTCTGCACAACACTGTCATTTTGAGATCAGAGGCAATTTTGCAACTGTGAACTCATCTATTTCATGATGTTGGAGAATCCTGGTAGTAGTATGGCTTTAGCAATGGATTCTAGGCAGGCTGATTGTAATCTCCCAGAGTCTGACTCTTCTTCTAATTCTGTTTCTTATTAGCTGCTCCCTTGGACAGTATACAGAGCCTAGCATCTTATTACATTGACTGCATAAAACAGGTGCAGCCCGAAGGCCCCTACCGGATTTCTGGATATTCCTTTGGTGCTTGTGTAGCCTTCGAAATATGCTGTCAACTCCAAGCTCAACAGAATCCCTCCCATTTACCCAACAGCCTCTTCCTGTTTGATGGTTCTCATTCCTATGTCGCAGCACACACACAGGTAAGAGGTTCGGGGCTAATTGAGTTTCGGGGTCCACTTCAAAGAGACTGCACTTTGGTCGAGGAAGAGCAGGCAGTCTTCTTGGGGACTAGCAACAGTACACACATGCATTTGCTGCATATGCACCTCACAATCCATTTGTAAGTTGTATTGCATTTCCTATGCAGTCAGTTTCTGTAATGCAAGCCAGAGACCTAACTTAGCTGGACTTTCTGGTGCTGTATCATTATTTGGCCCAGGATTCTTTGCGAGACATGTCTATTCTGTGCCAAAATATACCAATTAGAAAAATTCCCCAAATCATCAGTCTAAAGATCAGTTATTTTTCTTCTTCTGTTTCTTTTAAAAAGAAAAAGTCCCCGTATTTTAGTCAACTGATGACTCAGCATGATGTTGAGTGATCAGCATTCTGCTCTGACTGAGATTCCTTTAACGAGATCTTATCTTATGGTCCACCCTCTCCTCCAGAGCTACAGAGCCAAGCTGACTCCAGGGAATGAGGCTGAAGCAGAGACTGAAGCTTTGTGTGCCTTTGTACAGCAGTTCACTGGCGTGGAATACAGTAAGGTAATGTTCTTCCCCACAGTTCACAGCTGCAAGAAAAGATGCTGTGCACAGGACCACTTTCATCTGGAAAGCGCAGTGTGCCTTGTAATAAAGCTATGCTATGTTCCCTGCTTGCAGTTGCTGGAGATTCTTCTGCCTCTCCCGGATTTGAAGGCTCGTGTAAGTGCGGCTGTGGACCTCATAATGCAGAATTACAAAGACCTAAGCCATGAGGCGCTCAGCTTTGCTGCGGCTTCTTTTTACCACAAACTGAAGGCAGCCGACAAGTATGTGCCAGAGTGCAAGTATCATGGCAGTGTGATGCTCCTAAAAGCAAAGACCCACAATGAGTACGGAGAAGGTCTTGGAGGAGACTACAAACTTTCAGAGGTTGGTTCCATTGCGAGAAGGAACTGAAGTGTGACTCACTGTAGCTGCAGCTACTGTCGCTCCTTTTGCAGTCCTGCATGCCTGTGTTGCCTGCCTCCCTGGTCTCTGCATGGAGGCTGGGTGGCTGGAGTGGCTCCTGCAGCAGCCACTCTTTCCAGAGGACTCTATGGTGCTTGCGTACCAGGACTATGGAATCCAGCCTCCCGTGTTAAGACAACATGACAAGCCGTGCTGTGCAGGGAAACCATAGAGCAAAGTGTTATTTCTTGTCATGGTTTCTAAAGACCAATCTTATCATGGTGAAATACCATGACTGGGTTTAAACAATGTGACAGGTAAACAGTGGTTAAAAGCCGCCATGGCTTGTTATGCTGCCTGAACCCAGTCACTGATGAGCAGCGGCTTTCCAGAGGCTCAGGCAAGAGCTTTTTCTGCTTGGGCTGGCGCTTGGACCTTCTGTGTGCAAAGCCTGTGCTGCATTCCTGAGCTGCAGCCCCTTCCTTAATTCCCAGGCCAGGGAATTGCCTCAATTCCCATTCCTTAATTGTTATGCTGCATCTCCCAAAATTGCAGTTCTCCCAGAATTTGGAGGGTGCCGATCATCCCATAAAATGTATCACTGCTCACGTACACCATGGATAGACAAGGGTTTAATGGGAGAGTTCCTGAAATAAAGCACTTTGCCTTCTTATCCCAACTTCATGGTGAGCGGCTTCCCAATTTGAATAACTAACAGCAGGCAGTATTAGGAAATTTTCTTCTCCGTGATATTCCTGCCATATCACACTCAGTCCTCTCCTATCCCTGTCAGCCTGTGCTGTGACTACAAATGAGTATGTTGTCACTTCCCCAGTTGATTCACTGTGCCGGTTTCCCTAGTTTATTAAGGAACAGCAGCGGCAGAAGATCCGGTGTGGTAGATTATGGGAATGCTTCTCAAAATGCTTTAGGCCTTCTTGACATGCCTTTCATTGTGAATGCCAGGACGAAATCTCCTGCTCAGATGACGTTCTTTCCTAACTGAAGGGAAAAGGCACATAGGACTAGGACTGGTGTGTAATATGCTCTTCTATACCTTGTTGTCCTGTGCAGGTCTGCGATGGGAAAGTTTTTGTCCATGATGTTGAAGGGGACCATGTAACCATCCTGGAGGGAGACGGTGTCGAGTCGATTATTGGGATCATTCACAGCTCACTAGCAGAACCTCGGGACAGTGTTTGAGAGGACTAGATACTTCAGAAACTCTGCTATAATTGCTAGAGAAAATCCAGAGCAACCCCAAGGAACTCTTCCTGTCCTCCGTCATACCATCTGCTCTGCAGCCAAAACTAGGAAGCCCTATTGACCAGCATGTGTGTGTGTCTCCCCCTTTTTCTCTCTCCAGTGCAATGACAGCTTTGTTGCACTGTCACATGGACTACGCTGATGGCAGCAATGTACACCGTTTGGCAGTATGGAAAAAATTAGGAGCAGGCTCATGTGTGTGTTGTGCTATGTATTGTATTGTATTGTATTGTTGTGTAGAAGTTTAACCAAGCCCAGTGATCCTAGAGGGAAACTGCAGCTGATTTCGGAGACCCATTTGTCTGTGAAGAGTCAATCTGCAGCAGTATCACTAACTTAATTCCATTGAGGCTTTTTTTGGTAACTATTTTTGATTTGAAATATTCTAGGTATTTATTGCATCTTTACTTTTACAAGGGGCTCTGCGTTTTACTTTGTTACTGACTAAATGAAAAGGGCAAAATACTCAAAAAACTGTGGCTTTCCCCCTGCTGGTTGGTTGCCTCTTTTTATTTCAAGCAATATTCCTCTTTAGAACTATATCTATAGAACAGAAGGTGGATTCCCAGCATAAGCAGCCCCTTTCTCTGCAGGAAGATCGGATTGGCTTCTGCGATACTGCAGCAGAAGGGAGGGCTTGGTACTTTTGAGCATATGCACTTCTTTCCAGGCATGGGGGTCAAAATGCTAGCTGATTTCCTGCATTCCTCTAAAAAATGCATTGATCAGGCATGCACAGACATTTCTGTGCTTGATACATTCATTTTTCAAATGCTTTCAGTCCAGCATCCTCATCCCTTCACTTGCAATTTGAAAGATTAAGTGTGATTCAGACTTCACATAGCTTCCTGTGGACAAGATCCTGATTTAATCTTCCCAACAGCTCACCCATCTCACACCTTCATCCTTTCAAAACAACAAAGCACTGTAGCAATGGCTCCCTAAAACTCCTAAAAACAAACAGAATGAGTCTGTTTTTGGCTTCTTCTCGATTGGCTGTGCTTCTAGGGGAATCAGTGTGTCTGTGCTGCACCAATGATACAGAGGAGGACCACTGAGCGACCAGCATCAAGCAGGAGTGCTGTGCCTCTCCAAATTGCTTTGAAGTCCTTTTCCCATGCTGGAATAGTTTACCAGCACCGGAGGGCATTGCAACTGCACACAATTTCCATGTTTGCTGGTGGCGAATTGGCTGTGCCATTCTCTGTGGACCTGCAGCAAGGTGACTGGTTTTAGTGCTTAATTTTAAGGGGGAAACCCTTTGAAATCTGAAATGTTAAAATGACATTTTCAGATCAGTTATCTTTCTTTCTTTCTTTCTTTCATTTTTACATTCCTATGAAGAAAAAGGCCTGGGGTGACCTTCCTTCTGTGGCTCTCCTGGAATTAAATGCAACTTAAATACTGCCATGGTTTCTCTTGTCTATTATTTTGACCGTCTTTGCTTCTTTATTCTCACTTGACCCTTTTTCCCTTTATGCAGCAAAAAGGAGGTGCAACCTAATTCCTCCAGCAATTTAGAAGCTGCCAAAAGTGTTTCCTGAGCACCTTGGGCTGTGACTTCCTCTCACGTTCATGACTTAGGCCGGTATAATCCAAGAATCCTAGGACCTCTAAGCACCGTCTTGGGAGGGCAAACGAGTATTTTGGAGTCCCAGTTCTGAGGTTCCCCGACGGTGGCCTGTGACCTCCCAAGTCGGAGCCCCCAGCCCACACTCCTGGCAGCCGGTGTGGAAAGAAGTGTACCAGCTGCCCCTCTGAAGATGTGACTCAGAGAGGGGGAAAGGGAGCATGCCAGGGAAGCGAGGGAGACGGAGGCCTGGGCCAATGGCTTATGCCATACCCAGACGGCACCCCAGCCTCATTCCTTCCCTTTGCATGCGGCTCCATCAAGACAGCCCAAAATGGATGTCCCAATGAAATGCCAGGTGTAGAGGCAGCAGAAGCCACTGCTGCCACAACTCGCTCCGTCTCTGGGATGCACGTACCCCTCTGAGTTCAGAGGCTTATGTTCAGCAAAGGCTGGGGGCATTCGATTGCACCCTAAACGACTGGAAATTATATACTTGTAACAGAACCTCTTCGCTCTGGCTGCCTTTATGGTTTTAGGAGTTCATTAATGAAACTGCCTTCATTTCTCCATCTGCAGAAATACATTAAGGCTGATGTGAGGACAGTCAAAGCATATATGAGAAATGTTCCTAAGTGCTAAAAATTTCCTCCGGGGCCAAATTTTGGCAGGTGTCATAGGCCAGCAACACGGAAGTGAAAATAGAGAATGGGCTGCATTTGGGAGTATCAGGTTTTGCAGAACTAATCAGTGTTACAGTAAATGATCAGTACTAAACTAGAACATGAGAATAAGATGTTTCTAACAGCAAGGCTTTTTCTGAGTTGTCGCTCCAGTGAAATCCTGAAGTGTAGGATTCCACTGGGCTGCTCTGAACATGTTTAGACTTTTAAAATATTGCACTAAAAAGCACATCTGAGTATCTCCTGCAGTATTTATGCCACATCTGAATTGGCTTTCAATCTCATGGGTTCCTGATGTTGTGGAGAAAGCTCTAGACTTCAAACATGCACACACTGGAAGCTGGACCACTCTCTGTGATTCTCCTCCCTGCCAAGCACATTCAGTTATCCTAATTTATTATCTCAATAGCTTCAGTGTTTCACTTCTGAAGGGAATAGCTTCCACCTATACACATGAAACCCCTATTCCTGAATCAGGGTTCTTGCAAAAAACCTTCCACAGGTTTTCAAAAGGCTGGGTTCAATGCCCTGGATTTTTCTTAGTTATTATTAAGAAAAGTATGATATACTCCCTAATCTTGGTAAAGTAGCGTGGGGAGGACTAATTTATGTGTGAGACAAGAAGAGTACACAGGGGGGAGAGTACATATTCTGGATATATCAGTGGGATACAATACAAAACTTGGCATACAGATGTTTATGGAAAGGAGGCATAATAGTCCTTCCATTATTTATTTCAGAACAAAAGTGATTAATTCATGAGTATCTAGCCTTTCCTTTGCCTCCACATAACCCAGCTGCAAAATGGAATCTGCTTGGATAACTTAATAGAGCCTGTACTGAACTCCCCCTTGTTCACTGAAATTAATGCACAAACAGCAAACTCCTCATAATGGCTGTGAGCTGCTGTGCACTGCCAGATGTTTGTTTATGCAAAATCAAGCGGTGCTGCCAGCTGTCATCAGACTAGCCCTGAACAGACCTTAAGATGAACCAGAGGCCCCTGAATAAGAGCAGTGTTTGGATCAAGTTCTCCCAAGGGGCAGAAGCCCTCTTCCCAGGGCTGATTTGCCACCACAAGCAAGACACCATGAAGACGCCCATAGAAGAAGGGGTGCTAGACTCCTTTGCAGCTTCTCACTTACTCTGTAGCACTTAGAGGGGCAGGTGGAACTAGGAGGTTTTCCTAAGGATTCCAGTGGCTCACAGACTCCTCTGGAGCTCTCCGGGGTCCTGCAATTCCTCTCTGCACTCACTTGCTGCTGCAATAGACAGAGTGCTGCTTCTTGCCTCCTGACTCCTGCTAGGTATCTGGAAGTCCCATTTCCATCACCTTGGACTCTCCTGCCCTTAGTGAGTCATGCAGGAAGCTTCTCTGATGCTTGCAGGCCAACCATTCTCACACGTTTGAGCCACTCGTTCTCTGTGCCACATGTGGGTGTTGTGGATGAGAGAACCCAGAACCCAGATGAGGCATTTCATGTAGATCCTAGCCAGTTTGGCTGTACTTTGAACCTTGCCTCAGCAGCCTTTGCATCTTCAAGACTCCTGCACAAACTTGCATAATAGACTATCTTGCAACTGTTTATCCAAAATAATGATTCGATATACCACATTTTGCTGAGGAGCTTAGCACTCTCATAAGTTTATAATTTTCATGAAAAGGCATATATAAATAGTATCACATCAAGATTTAATTAGTTTGAGTCTAAAAGAGGCATTTTAGAAGAAGTATTTGTGCTAACATACTGTACTTTAAATTTACTGCCCTCCAAGCTTTCTCATATAAGAAAAGCTAGGCAGAAGTCAAGAAAAGCAAGGTTTCCTACCTAAAGACAGGAAAAATGTGTTTCAAAGTTGGACTGTTGTCTACATGTCCTGCTCATATCACAAATAACTCCAAATATTGTAAAAAGTTAACATGACCTACAAAAGAGAAGCAGAGGGCATCCTGTTTTGATAGAAGTGTGGCTCAGTGATGCTGATAAGTAATGGAGTACATATATTGCTTCCCAAAAGCTTCTCTGGATAAACAATGAATTGTTAGAAAATTATCATTGCATGAATTTCTGGTAATTGGACATTTAACCACAATTTATACATTTCAATTAAATGCAGCACAAATACAATAAAACAGCATAAAATTACAATATAAAACTGAAAACAATTTAAAAGAAATTTAATGCAACTAATCTTGTTAAATGAAAAAGAATAAAGGCAGACCTAAGTCCCTCATTTGCCACTGAAAGCCTCCAAGAATGCAGCCTGGTCACTTCTGCCTCGCAGGCTTACATGCTTCCTATGTCCTGAAGGAGACGTGTGCGGGCAATTTTGCTGCTACAGCTGCACCTCCCCTCCTGATCTTCCCCTCGATGGACAGGGACAGATAGGAAGGAGGCTGGGACACCGGCAGAAATTGGCTCACGTTGTCCACCCCAGCCCCCTCCCCACTCCCCAGCCCAGCCCCCTTTTCTCCCTTCCAGGGGACATTTGCCAACTTGGGGGGCTGCCAGCACCATTCCTTTTGTGCTGGCTGTGATGGATCAGGTGGAACGGGCTCAGCCCTGGAAGTCTCCACTCTGAGATCACAGGAGGGCGCAGGATTGCACACTAGCCTTAGAGAGCTTTTTAAACCAACAAATTTCTTCAAATTGCATTTTATTTTTGAATAGTATGAACAGGCACAAATGCATTTCAAATTTGAACTTACATTTTTATATGTAGAAGTACTTTGCCTTTATGAGCTCCACAAGAAGCAGAAATTCAACAGATAGAATTTTGCTGTCATGAAGAGTCAAAATGCGCAAGATGGCGTCGGAACGAGACGGCTGTGATTAACGGAGTTCCTGTTATCACACCGGTATTGCTCGGCAGTGAGTCATGGGAGGCTCATCTAAGCTCTGTCAGAGCGAAGACAGATTACCTGGGCATTCTTCTGGTTTGATGTGGGAAGGAAATCCCATATTCACTGGGAGAAATTCAGGCATTTCTCAACCGAGCAACACAGGGGCTTTTTTTAGCCCCTACAAGTTCTCGACATCTTTGGAATTAGCTTAGGATTTTTATTAGCTAGATAAGCATCGGAACTGCTGGGTAAATATTCTTATTTTTTATTTCTTTTCACAATACTACCCGTGGAAAAGCTGCATCTGTTTCTAATTGGCATAAAGAAAAAAAGAAAAAGCCCTCCTGATATCTAAGCGGCAACTGATATGGAGAGTGTTGTGGCTTTTGTCCAAACTGAAGTCAAAGAAAAAGGTTTTTTCCTCTAACCTAAGGGCGACGAATTAAAATAAATAATTACTGTGGAATTAAGTGATAGAAAGTTAAAACTTAGAGCAATTATTTTGGATATCTGTTTGGACTTCTGGCAAGACTAACTGGACACTCGCCAGGATTTTTTTCATATTGTGTAGTGTTTCCTCTTAATGTGATGACTGTTTGGGTGAGCATTCCTATTTTCCTTTTGCAATACTACTTGTGGAAAAACTATATCTGTTGTTAATTGGCATAAAGAAGGGGAAAAAAAGACTCTTTGATGAAAGGAGGATGTTTTAAGCAGTAAATGATATGGGGAGAGGATTTAAAGTTTATATGGGAGAGAGAGAGTTTGAAGTGTGTGCAAAAGCTGAGACAGGAAAAAAGGGACTTTGTTTCTTTTCTGATCTCCCCAGGAGTGAAGAATTAAAATAATAACTATTGTGGAATTAATTGATAGAAGGATATAATTTGCCTGTCGAGTCGCCATTTTCTCCCCTCTGTTTCTGGGACCCCTACCAAAGTATTTGGCAATTTGCCAAACTTCTGTCGGTAAGTGATCTAGAGGAAAAAGAAGTGGTAGTTGGCCTTTGCTGCCATTCTGTGGCTATTGGAATTATTACAACGATGGAAGAGCTAAAGAGAACACTCCTGGCAATACAGGAATCTTTAACAGCTTTACAAATATCCCAAGAGGCAATGTTGATAAAACAGGAAAATTTTTCAATTGAACAAAAAGAGCGCTTTGATAAACTTGATGCTTCTTTTAAGGAGGTTTTGGTTGGTGTACAATCCAAAACTGAATAGAATATTCAAAAAACACAACAAGTATATGAAAAATTTGAAACAGTGGATAAAGAAACACAATCTGCAAAACCAATAAATAAGCTATCATGGGA